TGAAAGATATTCCCTTATTGTCCTTCTACTTTTCACGTTTTTCTCACTTCTTTTTTTCCCCATTCCATTTTTTTGTGCTTCCTGGTTTTTCTTTTTTATGTATGTGTTGTTTTTAAAATCTTGATAAAAACTGACATTAAAAAAAAGTCTGGTGTCTGAGTTGGCATCATGTGATCCCGAAGCAATGGGACCTGTGACAGCTCATTCTCATGGGACTACCATCAACAAACAATGGAAATGCATGTGTGAATCAGAGCTTCGTGGCACAGTCTTGGGCAGCCATCTTTACTGCAAAGAAATACCCATCACCTACTTGGGGAAGCGGCTACAGGGGGGAAAAGCAGGGGCACAGAGGGAAGAAGAAGAAGTCTGCTACCCAAATTGGCAGTCTTCTATTTAATTGTGGGAAATTAGCTTAATTGGAGACAAGCAAGAGGGGATAACTAAGGATCTCTACCAATGTATACCAGGATATTCCCTTAGAAAACTCTCAAATTAAATCAGGTTGAAGTTTGACTGGAAAGGTGCTTTATTATAAAAGAATAAAAGAGCAAAACATACACATAAGGCACACAGAAAACACACAAGCTAGCTAAGAGGAAATCAGGGAGGAGGGAAAGACAGTAATTTCAGGGAAGGCGATATTTGCTGATCTTGGAAAAGAGGTCTGCAGAAGGCAGCAAGCAAAACAGCCAGCGTTTCTTGCAGAGGAGGAGAGGAGCCACATGCAAGTGGGGGGTGATGTTTAGTGCTGAGAACACACACACAAATACACACACACAGACTGCTGGCTGTGTCCTCCAGATATATGGCAAAATGCTGCCTGAGGGCAGGCTGGTGTGCTAGCCCCCAAAACAATACTTTGATGGGCTTTGAGGTGATGGACAAAGATTTGGGCAAAACCTTGATGAGATCGCTTGTTATGAAATAAGGTGATAATGTTCCTTGATGACCCTTGATTACAGGATGGGAGAAACTACCAGGTTGTATGAATAGTTGCTAAAGTGTTGCTAAATTGGGGCAAATGGGCAAGGGACATCACGACCGGTTGTGGACGAGGTTAATCTAAGGTGAGGTAATGGTTTCTTGGGAAACCCATTGTTATCAGTTATGCATCTCTTGAGCGTGGGTAGGAGGGTCGCTCGTGAGCCAGCCATTCTGATTCACCTTCCAAAATAATTTCCCAGGCTCTTACCTGGCCAGTATCCATTTTGTTTCTTCCAGCTCCATTTTAGTTTTACTCTTAGGCCCTGCACATACAATCTGGGGGTGATATTAAAGAAGGGTGTTTATCTAAGGGCAAACTGCAGCCTCTGCAGAAGGAGGGTCTGACAGCTAACACGTCCTGGGTGAATGTGCCAGAGTGGCCCCATGAGCGTGTAGCACACGTGCCCATTCCATGCTAAATGCCACAGCAGGGCTGTGACTGAACATACTGTTCTAGTCCTTTGCACACGGTCCTGATCAAACTGAAGAATGGCGCCTAGCAAATCAGAAGGCACAACAGTACAGGCTATTGTCAGCTATGCTGCCATAAGGTTAAGGGGCCCCTCCTGGACCCCCTCCCTGTCCTGTGTGCCAGCCTGAGCCACATTCCTTTCCCTGCGCTTCTCCTCTCCTTATCTCCGACCTTGTAGGCTGCAGATGTAGTGTCTCCACATAACTCATCTGTGAGACAGCTTTCGGTTCCCAGGTGGTGCAAACCAAAAAGAGAGATCAGGGGACGGGTGGTGGAAATAAGCAGAACAACTGCGAAGTATTACGCCAAAGAAAAATATCCAAAAACTATTTCGTTCTTATCAGGGGTCATTTCCTGCAGGAGCGCACAGGAGCGGAGCTCCAGCAGTAAGGAGCCCAGGGGGCGGGCACATGCAACAAGCCCTGCCCCCTGCTCCCAGCAGCCCTCAGTCGGGCCAGGAGGAGCAAGAAGCAGCCAGGTAAGTTGCAGAGCCCCCCCCTTCAGGTACAAGCTCTTCCTCCTCTGTGAGGGCAGATCTGCGTGTCCCCCCCCCCATAGCTAGCAATCCAAAACCGTCCAGTGGCACCTTTAAGACCAAGTTTTATTCAGGTACAAGCTCTTCCTCCTCTGTGAGGGCAGATCTGCGTGTCCCCCCCCCCATAGCTAGCAATCCAAAACAGTCCAGTGGAGCGTGAGCGGTGGGTGTTGCCTTCTGGCACACTTCCGGTGATGTCAGGGGGTGTGGCATATGCAAATGAGTTATGCTAATGAGCTCCTGCACCTCTTTTTCAATGAAATGACCCCTGGTTCTTATCCAATATTCAGTTTACTTGGAGTGGATCAGTCTCTCAAAACCATTCACAATGACGCCATCGAGACATCTCTTGGGATTAAAACGGACCTCCAGGCGACAATGACGCCATCGAGACATCTCTTGGGATTAAAACGGACCTCCCCCGGGGAGAAAACGGCCTCTTTGGAAGGTGGACTCTGGGGCATCCTGTCCCCATTCAGCAGTGCCAACAAGGTCTGTGACAGTGGCGAGGCTTTGCCCTCTCCCTTGTGCCCACTTTATACGTTGCAACGAAGTCCTTCCACTTGCTCCGCTCCAGTCAAAGCTCTGCTATAGACCCATTATCGTTTTTGCGGGCGAGTTGGTTGTCGGAGGCAACTGCCTGAGTTCACACTGTTCTCCCAGACGGCGTCAGAAAGAATCATAGCCTTAACCTCTCTGACTCACCTCGGGGCACCTTTGATGTCTAATTTGTATTAATTAAAACGGCCCAGGAGCGCTCAGAAGAGTAAAGTGCGTTCTATGAATGTACACAGTTTTATTTGGCTTTTTCTCATCTTGTCGTCTAATTAAATATATGAATACAAAGACAAGGACAAACACTTGGATCCCACAGATTATTTGGCAGGAGGGTTGCCATGGTACCCCCGGGAAGGTATCACTGCCACCCTCCTCAGCAAAGACTTGAGTTCAGTCACCTCTGAACACAAACAACAAGGCACCCCTTCTGAGACAGAGAGAGAGACACCGAGGCAAAGTCTGCATTTGTCTTTCCCACCCGTGTCCCAGCCTTTTGACTCCGTCTTCAAAAAAGCTGTCTACATTTGGTGTCGTTTTCACACCTCAAGAGTGCTAGCATACTTTTGCACATCCACATATGTTTATCGCTCTTTTGGGGCGGCTCCACTGTCATTGGGCCTCCGCACCACTTTAAAAGAATCTTCTCCAAACAACATTCAAACAAGCATTAGAGGAAAGATGGCATCAAAGCAGCACGAAACTGATTTTAAAATGCAAATGCAGATTCGACCAGAGGCTGAGCTCAGACTGGCCGTTTGAAGCGGGAGGGAGTCGTGGCAAAAAAGACCCGGAACAAAGTGTTCCGGGTTTTCCCGGTCACACTGCACCGACTGATGCAGGAGCATACTGGCGGGGAGGCGCAAGGGAGCATTCACACTGTTGGCCCGGAGGCGTGGCTATAAGCGGCTTTTTCTGGTAATCCAGTTATGTGCGCTTATGCACTCATGCGCATAAGCGCACCCCTACCGGATCAGGGCTTTTCGCGTTCACACTTCCGGGAAGCGGTATGGACACGGGATAGTCGCGCTTTCCAGGGTTTGATACCACTTTCACCGCGTATCTTTTAAACTCGGGAGGGAAGCGTTACAAGACAGATTGAGTATGGCTGGGGAACGCTGGACAGATGTGCCTGTGTGAACGGCCCCTTTAATCCGTTCGTGAAACGTTTCTGGCTCGTGCCTCTATCGGGGCAAACTTGCCAGTCTGAACTTGGCCAGAGAGATTTCATGAAAATGTATTGGGTCCCAAAAACTTCGACCCAAACTTACCCTTTGGAAGTAAGCAGGACTGACTGAACATGGACACCCACGTAAGTGTGGGGAGGCCTGTAGCATGGGGGCAAACGGCAGAAGCAAGTGTGTGTGTGGGGGGGAAATAAGGGGCGGAGGGGAACCTTCGATTTTAAAACTACATACGAAAGGAAGAAATTATTTCAGTGAGACGGGCCCAAGGGAATTACACTCGCCTGGAAGCTACGGTTGCCAGCTCTGGGCTGGGGAGTTTCAGGAGACTAAGGGGATGAGGCCTGGGGAAGGCGGGGTTTAGAGAGGGGAGGGCTCTCAGCAGTCCACCCTCCAAAGCAACCATTTCCTCCATGGGAACTGAACTCTAGTCTGCAGGGTGTCGGGCTGCCAGCTCGCCCCTGGCCACCGGCAGGGGATGGGGGTGCCAGGGTTGCCAGATCCAGGCTGGGAAACTCCAGGGGATTTGGGGATGGAGCCTGGGGAGGACGGGGACCTCGGCAGGGTACAGGGCCACAGAGTCCACCCCCCAAAACAGCCATTTTCTACAGCCATTTTCAACTGATCGCTGCAATCTGGAGATGTGATTCCGGGGGATCCTCAGGCCCCACCTGGAGGCTGGTACCTCTAACAGGGTGGTGGTTGGGAGGATAAAATGGAGGAGACGAGGCCTCTGTAAGCTGAATTGGGTCACGACAGATCAGGAAGTAAATACTTGTGAAGAGACACAGGATGGGAAACTGAACGGTAAATCCACTCCCTGCTTGTGGTATTTTTCCTCACCTTGGAGCCAAGCCCATAGCCAGGATTCTGTGGCTTGTGGGGCAAAAAATTTTCTGGTGGGGCTGCAAGTGAATCCCTTCTGCCAGTCTAAGCAACAATTCAGATAAGAAACTGGCAGGTGGGGGTGATGACTTCTATAGTCAAGAAAGCTAACACATAGGCAGAAAAAATTCGCTTAAAGGAGACCAGTTTCTTGACACAGAGATGGAAGGGATCCTAGAGGTCACCTACTCAAACCCCCTTGCTCAGTGTGGGAATGAGTCAACTACAGCCCCCCCACTCTGCTTAAAGGAGCCCACGCCTTTAAAAAAATGTTTCTAAATGATTGAAAAAAGCATTTACCAGAGAAATTCTTATAGGGCTGTGCCTTTAAGAAAGGGGGCAGAGCCCCCCAAAGCCCCAGATAGCGATTCCCATGCTGTACCTTGTTCATGTTGATGTGCAGCGCTGGCCATGGCCCAACCGCTTTCCCCGTCTCCGCTTCCACCTTCTTCAGATGGACAGAAGCATCATCGTAAAGGCGAGGGACTCCTGGATGCCCAGAATGAGCAAAGAAAACAGTCTGAAAGCAAAGTAAAAAACCCTGCAAACATAACCACTGGACAAAGTCTGTGCACGTTTATAAACTGAGATCACACTTAATCACACTCATCCCCTTTCGGCAACAGCCGCTTGTACCATTTGCAACAACAACATTTTAAAATGGACTGGACGTAGGGCTACTAAGTACGGCCTGGGAAATTCCGGGAGATTTGGGGGGAGTCCATGGAGAGGAGGGAATCTGTGGAGGGATTTCATCTACAATCTGTGCTATACCACAGAGCTTGCCTTCCGAAGCTGCCCTTTCCTCCAGGGGAGCCGATCTCTGAAGTCTGGAGAAACGTTGTGACTCTAGGAGAACTCCAGGTCCTGCCTGGAGGACGGCAACCCACACTGAAAGCCCCCCCCCACGTAGCAAAAGGAACTGTTGCTGTTCCTCATACTAGCAAGGTGTCATGGTTACACTGTCAGATTAGGATCTGGGAGACCCAGGTTCAAATTCCCACTCTGCCATGGAAGATTGTGGGTGACCTTGGGCCAGTCTCACACCCTCGGCCTAACCTGCCTCGCAAGGTTGTTGTGAGGATAAAATGGAGGAGAACAAACCACTTATGGTCCCAATCGAAGACGGTGTATATATATGTGTGTGTGTGTGTGTGTGTGTGCACATGCGTATAAACTGAAGTCAAGGAGCCCCATGAGTTTAAAGCTCTCCTGCTGGTAAAAGGTAAAGGTTCCCCTGCTCGAAAGCCAGTCGAATCCAACTCTAGGATTGCGGTGCTCATCTCCGTTTCAAAGCCGAAGAGCCAGCGCTGTCCGAAGACGTTTCCGTGGTCATGTGGCCGGCATGACTAAACACCAAGGCGCATGGAACGCTGTTTCCTTCCCACCGAAGCGGTACCTATTTATCTACTTGCAATTTCTTGCTTTCGAACTGCTAGGTTGGCAGGAGCTGGAACTAGAGACAGGAGCTCACTCTGTCATGCGGCACACTCGGGTCTCGAACTGCTGAACTACCGACCTTCCACAGCCTGCAGTTCAGCGTCTTAACCACTTGAGCCACCGCAGCTCCTTCTCCTGCTGGAGATGTCTCTAATTACAGATTTAGATACTTCAGAGTTAGGCCTGGGGTTGCCAGCTCTGGGCAGCAAAATACCTGGAGATTTTGGGGATAGAGCCTAGGGAGGGCGGGGTTTGGGGAGGGGAGGAGCCTCAGCAGGGTCTAATGCCACAGAGTCCATCTTCCAAAGCAGCCATTTCCTCCAGGGAAACTGATCTCTGCCCTCTGGAGATCAGTTGCAGGAGTCATTTCCTGCAGGAGTGCACAGGATCGGAGCTCTGGCAGTAAAGAGCCCAGGGGGTGGGCACATGCAACAAGCCATTTAGCCAACAGAAACCTGTTACCAGGATAGATCTCTAAATTGCAAGCTGTCAACCGCTTTAGATGACAGTTCTCAGCTGCTGCAAGTTAATCACTTCTGCCAGCCTATGCAACAATTCTGATAACAAGCCAGCAGGTGGGAGTGATGACTTCTATAGTCAAGAAAGCTAACGTTTAGGCAGAAAAACTCTTAAAGGAGACCAATTTCTTGACACAGAGTTAGAAGGTATCCTAGAGGTCACCTACTCCAACCCCCCCGCTCAGCGTGGGAATTAGTCAACTACAGCACCCCACTCTGCTTAAAGCACGTCTTTTAATCACAGGGAAGCATCTGTCTCTAAAAGACGCTTTGTGAGCAGGGTCTTCATGGGGCCCACAGGGTCCACCCACGAGATCATTTACATTTGATCTACCGCTGCTCTACCAGAGGGTGTCTCTGTAAGACCTTGTTGGCTCCCAGTCTCTCTCTCATTTGAAGGACATGATCCAAATCCATCCGGGCAGCTCCTCTATACTTTTGCTCTTGGGGTGGAGCAAGGAAGCAAGACCCCCCCCCCCCATAGTGCACAACAGCTGGGGGCCAGCAGAGACTTCTTGCTCTTATTTGGTTCTTTGAAGCCTTTAGCTAGGCAGGAAACCACCCCTATCATCATGACTTCATGACTGGAACTGTTGTACTCGTCTGCCCTCTTTTTTGCATCCCTTGGTCATGTGTGATTCCTGACCTGAAATACTTTTGCTCCTTTAAATTTTTTTTAAAAACATAAACTATGTTTCTGGCCCTCAAAAACTTAGCTGTCCATTTCCCAAGACTGGGAACAAAATCCAGGTTTCTTCAACATTTGCGGTTATAATTTCCGCACAAGAATACTGCTGATTATGATCAACGTACCCGCCAAACACACGTTGAGAATCACCAGGAACAGAGACTTGACATTTAAATTGTGTCACTGCGTTCTTTTTCGGCTTAGGATGGCAACCGGGGGGGGGGGGGAGGCTGAGGCTGATTCAATGTTGGGAATTATTAGGAAAGAAATTGAAAAATAGAAAAGGTACTATAGTGCCCTAATGACATATGGAAAGCATATGGCTCTAGTCACCCCATTAAAAAACAGGAATCAGAAGCAGAGACGGCACCCCCTGATGTCAAGCGTGTGGCCCAAAGGATTTCCGCGGAAGGCGTTCTGGTGGGGCAGCAGGAAGGCTCTCATCCCAGGGCACTGCAGAAACCAAGATCTTGGGTCAGCGAAGATGGATGAATCCTCCTGAACATCCCATTAGCTGTTAGCCCACCCGTTTGACTGATTCGATCAATCAAATCAATCAGGACTGACAGGTCTTCATTTCAGAAATCCATTTCCACTTCCACGAAGATGAAGCACTGCCCTGAAAATTGCTGAGGCCCTCGAGTAAGTAAATTACATGGTGTACTTAGAGCTCGGGAAGCTTTTATGTTGAGCCACCCGGATGGAGGATTCCAGAGGGAGGGAGGGAGGGGAGGGACAGGGACAAGGGCAGGAAGTTTAATTGGAGCACCAGTTTCAAACTTTTGCAAGAGGCTAAGCGCTTTTTTTTTTTTAGGAGCTGTGGTGGTTCAGTGGTGAAGACGCTGAACTGCAGGCTGTGGAAGGTCAGTAGTTCAGCAGTTCGAGACCTGAGTGCCGCGTGACGGAGTGAGCTCCCGTCTCTGGCCCCAGCTCCTGCCAACCTATCAGTTCGAAAGCAAGAAATTGCAAGTAGATAAATAGGCGCAGCTTCGATGGGAAGGGAACAGCGTTCCGTGCGCCTCGGCGTCTAGTCATGCCGGCCACATTGTTGTAATATTAATATCCAGCTGTCAGATCATAGTGATCTAACCGTCAGCAGGAAGACTGCTTGAAACCTGTCCTGGCCAGTTTGGACCAGATCATGGTGTGAGGTCAGTGACAATGACTCAGCTCTTAGCTGATTGGTTGATAACATGTATATATGTGGACAAGTGCTGCCTCTGTATTCTTCTTCTCTAAATGACGATGTCTGGCGGAGCATTTTGTCCGAGGATTGTATATATTGTAAATAAAGCTGTACATAGTTCACCACTGGACTGTCTTGTGTGGTGCTATACAGAGCTATTGAGTGCTGAAGAGTGGCTGGTGAGTTGGAGTGGCTGTAATAGTCCTGGTGGCTGGCTGATACTTTCTACTGGCACATAGGCTGTCCTACGCGCACCGTGCAACACACATGACCACGAAGACATCTTTGGACAGCGCTGGCTCTTCGGCTTGAAAACAGAGATGGGCACCGTAACCCTAGAGTCGGATTCGACTGGCTTTCGAGCAAGGGAAACCTTTACCTTTTTATGAAGCGCTTTTAAAATTAAAATAAATAAAAATCCCAGCTCAGTCTTGAGCTAACTTGTAGTTTCCCTCACAAAAATCCTTATAATTGTCCAAGTTCATTACACAAAAACATTCACAGACAAAGTTAATTGTGTGACTAGATAAAAAACAGCCCTTTCCCTCAAACTGGACAAGTTACAAGCCCCACAGCAGCCCTGGCTGCCTGTGGGATTCATCTGATGGTTGTTAAGGTTTTCGGGCTGGCAGGTCCCTACCTGGCATCCAGCGGGGGGGAGAAGCTCTGTGTCCGGGAGTCTCGAACGTGATGATGTCACCCGGAAGTGAAGTCATTGCACCAGGCATGTCGTCGAGGGAAGCTCTAGCGTTCGGTCTTAAAACTCTATGGTACCAAAGAGTTTTAAGGTCGAATGCTAGAGCGCCCACTGACGACGTGCCTGGCGTTATGATGTCACATCTGGGTGATGTCATCGCACTGGGCACGTCAGCCCGATTCAGGCACTTTGGGGATGGAGTTCCCCCTGACGGCTGGATCTGGGTCTGCGGGTTGGGGGGCCCTAGAGTGTGCAACCCCCCGCTCCCCCGGGGGACCTGGCAGCCCTAAAAAGTTTCTATTAGTAAGCCACATAAAGCTTCATGCAGCCTGGGACCGACATATCGAAGGGACAGCCTCTCCCCCTATGTGCTCTGCAGAGAACCACCTGCTGGTTATTCCTGGCCTGAAATACGTCCGCCTAGCCTCAGCCAGGGCCAGGGCTTTTTCGACCCTGGCCTTGGCCTGGCGGAACACGCTTCCAACTGAGATCAGGGCCCTGTGGGACCTCTTACACCAAACAGAGCTGTTCCTCCAGGCCTTTGGCTGAGGCAGTGGGCCACTACCAGCTGGCCTCCCCGTTGCTGTGGCAGGAAGCTACTATGAACGAGACCTTCATGGCTCGGCTTCACCCCATTCCTTCCCAGCTGTAGGAACGGAAACTGGAATTTGCCGTGCTGCCCACTTTAACTGTTTTTAACTGGTTTTATTGTATCAATTTGATATTTGATCTCTATTTACTGAATCAATTTTAGATTGTATTGGAATTTACTGTTGTGACCCGCCTTGAGCCCACTTGCAGGGAGAGAGCAAGACATACGTGGAAATAATAACTAAATAATAAGAAGGCTGAGCCTCCCACGCCAGCTTGATGGCCTCCCCAAGAACTTCCTGGGAGCCAAAATCAGCGTAGTAGACTTACTATTTGGGCTTGGAACAGCAGCCACCACATCCTTGCTGCTGTCTGGAGGGGCAAGTCCTCCGTAACCGGAGTGTGGGTGGTGGTGGTGATGGTGGTGGTGGTGGTGGGGGTGATGCCTCCCAGACATTTTGGCCGTGAAGGGCATTCCGCCATTTTCTTCTGTGTTAAATGGGTGAAGTTCAGTGTTGTTCAAAGGGTAGCTGTGGAGCAGAAATTGGGTCCAAGTCAGAACGTTTAGAAGAGGGCAGAGCGGCGTTAACAACGACACAGTCATCAGGGAGGAAAAAAAGTATACATAGGTATTTATTAGAACAAAGTCTGAGTCCAGTGGCACCTTTGAGACTGACAAAGTTTAATTCTGGGTACAAGCTTTCGTGGGCGTGCACCCTTGTTTGAAGAAGCGTATATGCACACGAAATACCCAGAATCAAACTCTGTTGGTCTTAAAGGTGCCACAGGACTCAGACTTCGTTCCGTTCTTTCAGACCCGCATGGCTACCCACCTGAATCTATATGGATTTATCAGTGATTCCTGCCCATCCACCCTCCACACCCCCATGGCACATCTCGCTCTCTGAATGATCGCTGGGAATTGTCATGAGGGTTCTGTTTGTGGCGGTGGGCCGGGCCGGGGGGGGGGGGGGGGCTGTCCCGAGCCCTGAGGGGGGAGCTGATGGAAATCAATGCAACCTTACATATCATTACAGCACTTTTATTAAACAACAACAAAAAGAGAGCACTGGTCATCCACTTCTCCTGAAGCTTCTAGTTCCATGCAGTTCTTCTCACAGAGGTGATAAACCTGTATCTGGGCTGCACTACGTAAGAACACAGATGGGGGGGGGTCACCTGGCCGAATGCTCCTCCGTACCAAAAATAACCCCCCTCACACCAGGTGCTGGTTCTCTGTGTGCCCCTCCCTGGAGCGCATTCCATCGTGCAAGACCTCACCTGCAGTCGGAAATGGCACAGCCCGGATTCGGCTATAAAGGGAAGTCAGGAGCTCTATCACAGCCTTCCGTCTAAAACACCGTTAAGAGGCCAAGTATGGAGGCTCCTGAGCAGACAAAACATTCAAGAGATTTAAAGGGAAAGCAGGCCCGGACCAGGGCTGGCCCGGGCTGGCCCGATCCTTAGTGGGGTCAGCCCTGGCTAGTACTTGGATGGGAGACCAGCAAGGAATACCAGGGCTGTGACACAGAGGCAGGCCATGGCCAACGACCTCTGTCTGTAACTCTTGCCTTGAAAACCCTACGGGGTCACCGGAGGTCGGCTGCAACTTGACTGTACTTCCTACCACCAGCCACCCTGTGGGCTCTACACCATGTCTTTGGTGCGCTTGCGTCCTCAGGTGATTGCTTTTGCTACTGTCCAACAGGTATCACATTCCACGAGAAGACAGTTTTATGAGCTTCTGGCTCCAGACTTTGGAAGGGGCTTATTTAGACAGCAAATGTTCCAGAACAGCAGCGAACGCTTCGTTTTGTTTACCGTCACACTTCCGTTTCTAGAATATTTCTGAGAACCATCTTGTCAAGTCTCCTGGCTACGGTGCATCAGATTTTGGATTCTGTAAGGGTTTGCTTTGTGTTACGTGTTTTTTTTTTTAGTAGACATTCATTTAGGCCATTTTAAGAAATATGCTCAAGGCAGCTCTCAAGATAGTAAAACAAGCAGTTATAAAAAACATTAAAACAGCTTAACACAAAATTCAAAACTAGAAGAGGAATTTATTTTAAAAAGGCTCTTTGCCTGATTAGGACCAAGGACCTTACTGTGGCATTCCCAAAATGAGAAGCAAATACCTTGAACAGGACCACCTGAGAACCACCTGGATCAAGATCCTGGAGGATTCCTGGCTATCCTGCCTGATGGTGAATAACTACCTATGCTTCGTTCATTGTGTGATACACACTTTTGTCTCTGAGACTGAAATGCATCCAATTTTATATTCCATTGTGGGATGTAATTGGCAATGACCTTTAATCTTCAACAAACAAAAGAACTGAACAGGGGCCATATTTTGAACTAAACGGTGCCTGGCCAGCAACCAAAGCTGGTTCCAGGTATTTTGTTGCATCAAACAAAGCAGACCTGTTCCCTCCTGAGACCTGTGGAATATTTATAATCTGCCTTTCTCCCCAGAGGGATCCAAAGCAATTTACCACTCCATTTAAGACAGCTGTAACAATAACACCCCCCCAATAAAACCAAAAGCCGGATCAACCCATCATTGTCATCCTATCGATTCCATCTGCCGCCCACCCGATCTCCAGCCAGGGGAAATAAGCCGGAATCAGATAGAATGAACCTGTGTGACTGACCCTGCCCGGATGGGTGGTTGAATGTCGTGGGATGAACATGTGACATGTGACATGTGACATGAAGGGACATGGAATGAACTGCTGAGGGGCCTTGTTATCTACAGCCCATCGATCTGGCTTCAGACCTGATCTTGGGACAGCAGTTGCCTCGACAGTGCTGATGGTGTTGACTTTGACCAAGAGAGACTGAAGGAGACTGTCTGTATTGATTCCCCAGGATCTTCCTGTGGCCTTTGATACCTCTGACTTTGACGGTATCTTTATGGGCTGCCTACTAAGAACTGGGAGCAGGAGATGTTGTTTTCCTGTGTGTCTGGTGGGTTTCAGAATGCAGTCCCAGGAGAACCTTTTGTAACGTGACCAGTTGGCTGGTTAAAACTGGACTCAGACGATGAGTAGGTTATGCCTGATCACCGGTTCTTTCTTGGGATAACCTGTTTAGGCTAACAAGTCTCTTCGGGTTTATACCGCCTGTGGGTGGAGGTATACCTGCCAGATATGAACTCTTCTCAAGAAGTCCGGCACCACTGCTTTTTAACAGCAAACTGCACAACTCTTTATGCCCATAAACATAGCAGGGGTGGGATATTTACACAGGATAGACTGTTGCTTTTTGTATAAGTGCTTCACTTTGAGTTAACATATGCAGGAGTTATACAACTCCAACTTGGACACATAACTGACTCTGGTACACTAAGACCATTTGGGATTCTACTTCTCCTGTTACTAACTGTGGTTATACTTAAGACTTTCTCCACCTGGCTCTCTCAACTGACTGGTGAGGCTGTTCTAGCTATCCCTCAGTCTTTTCCAGACACCTAGTCTTTCCCTTAACCACTTCACAAGTTCCCTTGGAGCAGCGTGTGTGTAGCTTTGTTAATACTAAGGAGTTCTTCAGTTTCTCCTTTCATATCACTATCCTCTTTCTCTAGAGGGGACCAGTGTCAGCTATGCAGCTGCCATGGCTGAGACGGGGGGGGAGGGATGCAGACTGTCAGATAAATTGTCTCCGTCTCTGCCTGACTTGGAATGTTAAATTTTGATTCTCCTTGTCTCCTTATCCACTTAGGCTGGCATCCTTGGCACCTCGTTACTCTATTCCCTGGGGATCCTTAGCCAGTAGCCTCGGCGGGTTTTTGCAGTTATTCTGATTGGCTCTGGTCCATCCCCCCCCCCCCCCCCCCTCATGTATATTATTCGGCTGTGCGTGCTTATTCTCATTCCTGACACTAAATGTATGTGTAGATGACTTGCCTTTACAGACTCCAATAAACTTTACGCCTTTGGAAAGAAAGTTGTGGGGAACTGATTGCTTCAGGACTCTTGACAACCAGTAGGGGGCGTTCTCTAGCCCCAATTTTCCTCAAACTGGTCACTTGCTTTTCCCGCTCTGCTTCCTAGGTTCCTTCTCACTCCTGAGCTCTCGGGCTCACTCACCAACTGTCAACTCTCTCTTTTTTTTCAAGCTCCCTGAGAATTCTGAACGGCCTGCCCCCACCACTCTTAGTCATGTGACCTAGCAGCGCTTTTGCTTCCCTGCTGCTTGCCGCCAAGCCTTATAGTCCATCACACCTTCCCAATGGGGAAATGATGCAAATCCTCAGACACAGAGTTAGCAGCCAGTTGCATTGGAAGTTTGATCCTTTGCTCACAAGGGATTCCCGGTATTGTATGTGCTGCAGTTTTTACATACGCTGGAAACCTGACAGCAGAAAACAGTGAGAGTCCAGGAGCACCTTAAAGACTAAACAGATTTGTGGTAGGATATGAGCTTTCGTGAGTCACTGCTCACATCTTTAGACACAGCTAGAATGTGAGTCCAGCTATCCTATATATTGGAAAGTGGAGTCATTTCAGATGCCAAATGACAATAGCAGATGTGATTGGATTAGGTGTGATATGCAGAGAGGTAGTTCGCATGGAGAAATCAGTATTGGTTTTTGCGGACAGGAGACAGGAAACCTAGGTCTTGATTCAGTCCCGGTGAATGCATTGTCTTGAGCTTTGTTATCAGTTGCAATTCAGCAGTCTCTCCACATCCACCTGGACTGAATCAAGACCTAGGTTTCCTGTCTCATTACCAATGCTGATTTCTCCACACCAACTACCTCTCTGCACATCACACCCAATCCAATCACATCTGCTTTGTCATTTGACAATATATAGGCCAGATGGACTTACATTCTAGCTGTATCTGAAGAAATGAAGAAGTGAGCAGTGACTCACAAAAGCTCATACCCTACCACAAATTGTATTCATCTTTAAGGTGCTACTGAACTCTTACTCTTTTCTACTCCTACAGACAGACAAACATGGCTACTCATGTTGATTTACTGGAAACCTAACATAAAGCAACAAGTGTGTATGTGTGTGATGCGGGGTGTTATCTCCCTTTTCACCCCATTTGCCCCACTAGGGGAAAATGGCCATGGACAGGTCAGGCCACATTGACTTCTGTTCCCAGTTCGGCTTGGTTTTTACTACCCATCCTTAACTTGACTCCATTTTATGACCACCCTCAGATATCTGCTGTGACAGAAAATCATATTCCTCCCATGAGATGTTGATTTCCCCTGACCTGGGTGGCCCAAGGCTAGCCTGATCTCATCAGATCTCAGAAGCACGGCAGGGCTGGCTCTGTTTTGTGCTTGGGCGGGAGGGAGACCTCCAAAGAACACCAGGCTCATGACGTGGAGACAGGCACTGGCAAGCCGCCTTTGAACATCTCTTGCCTTGGAACCCCCACAGGGTCATCATACGTCCATTTTGACGAGGATAAAAATATATAGTGATTCTGTGAGGTGAGTCTCAGCTTAATTTCCCCCTGCTTCTCATTTACTGGACTCTGTCCCCTTTGACATTTGTACATCCCACTGCACCCCAACAGGTTCTTCCTTGGCATCCCTATATAGCATATCGAAGGGGTAGCATCTCCCACTGATTTCCCCCCCCCATCTCAGCCAGATTCCTACATGCCCACAGTACCTCCTCCTCTCAATGAACACAAAGCACACCAGCTCCTCCTTCAAGCACCTCCTCCCACCCCGCATGCACATTTCCCCTCATGGGCCTTCGGTCCCCTTAGATCAGGGGTGTCAAACATGTGGCCCAGGGGGCCGGATTCGGCCACCGGAGGGCTTCTATCAGGCCCACAGTAGAACTGGCTGTCTTCTGCTCCTTCCAGTTCTGCTGCTGCTGCTGCGTCATCGTAGGCTTGCAGCTTACATATACACACCTGAACAGCATACTCAAGATTGCAACAGCACAGACATTTTGATGCAGTAATTCAGAGCATGTCAGTTATCAGACACGGTTAAACAAAATTTTGCAAGAGTGCTAATGTTTTAATCATGTTAAAAAAACCCTTTGTGTTTGGGTCCTTTAAAGAGTTTATATCTCCGCTACCTGGCATTACATTGTATGACACACATGGCCCGGTCCAACAAGGTCTCCTTTATGCTAGATCCGGCCCTCATAACAAATGAGTTCGACGCCCCTGCCTTAGATGGCTTCTGGTTTTGAGCTCTTTCAGGTTCTCATCCATTCCATTGAGATTATCCAGAGGAATTACCCTCTCATCTCTACGGGATGCGTCATTCTGAGCCAAATGTTTGCCAGCTCCTGTCAGCTTCCCCTCCGGGAGCTGCTCTTCAGAGTTGCTCTGCGATATTATCAAAAGCTATAGCAACGATCTTGTTTCAGCTCAAGTGCGTGCCACGGCTCTTTGGTATGGGGTCAGCTTGCCCCCCTACATCCCCCAGTGGCTGACCAATCTAAACCAACCTCCTAGCATCACCCATCTCTCAGGACCCCAAGTCCCACCCCTGCCTCCTGATCCCACACGCCCTGCTCACTGAAGAGGTCGCATTTCTGAGCATGCTACTTTGGAGGCCCTGCATTTTAGCCTTCTGCCTGCAATCTAATCTTTCATAAGAACATAAGAGAAGCCAATGTTGGGCTCCTAGTGTCCTGGCCCCACTGCTGGGCCTCCTGATGGCACCTGGTATTTTTGGCCACTGTGTGACACAGAGTGTTGGACTGGAAGGGCCATTGGCCTGATCCAACGGTGGCTTCTCTTATGTTCTTATGTCTGGGGCAAGGGATGCTCTGTATTCTTGGTGCTTGGGGGGGGGGCAACAGTGGGAGGGCTTCTAGTGTCCTGGCCCCACTGCTGGACCTCCTGATGGCACCTGGTATTTCTGGCCACTGTGTGACACAGAGTGTTGGACCGGATGGGCCATTGGCCTGATCCAACGGTGGCTTCTCTTATGTTCCTATGATTATTTAGTGTGTGTGATCGCAGCCATCGTTTCCCGTGTTTGCGACATTCTGACCAGAGCCATTATTGCCTCAGAGAAGTGGTGAGGCTGTGAGAAGAGATCTGCGGCAGGGCCGAGGAGGAGGAGCTGATCCTGTCCTCGTTTCTAAGGAGGCAGCAAACTCGCTCCTGGGTGACACATCAACTGAGAGACGGGACCAGACGGCCGAAGGCTCTTTCTTTTGAAATTCTCACCAGACAGACAAGAGCATGTCGGTGAGAAGGCCCAGGGGAGCTCCCTGCTTGGCGCCTGAGGAGATGCCGGCCAGAAACAAGTTTAGCACTAGATCTCTGCTCCAACAATGGTTGCCACTGGCAGGGGGATGGGGGGGGGAAGGGATGCCAGACCCAGGTTGGGAAACTCCTGGGGATTTGGGGGCGGAGCCTGGTGAGGACAGGGACCTCAGCGGGGTACGAAGCCATAGACTCCACCCTCCCAAGCATCCATGTTCTCCAGGGGAACTGGTCTCTGGATATGGGCTATCATTCTGGGGAATCCCCAGGTCCCACCTGGAGGCTGGCATCCCTAGTTCCAACCCTGCCATGGAGATGGGCCCAGACTTCACACCCCCATAGCCACATGTCTGTACTGGCCAAGTTGGACTCCTGCCCATGTTTCACATTTATTCCAGTGTAACTATCTGCATGCCCTTTTCATGCAGATGAAAGAAGGTTGTTCAAAAAATTTTTTACTCTCAGTAATGAGCCAATTGTTGCAAAGACTTTATATAAACACTACAGCCATGAAATAACTTTTACCATTCCGAACTTTACTGTCTGCAGGACATAACTGCTCTCGAAATTTCAAGCCAGTTTAGGGAGCCAGGGAAACTAATTTATTCTTTTGTTTCACAGAAGTGGTACAGATGGACTGGGGATCTAGGTCAAGTTTTCTAAGGTCGAAAACAGACAAAAGGGACAGAGAACACAGAACTCCAGGGCAAATGAAAATATTCATATTTATTATTATTTGTACTTAGCACATACAAAGATTAAAACAAATGTCATAATAGCATCTGTAAAATACTTAAATAAAAAATTAAACTCTCACATATTTGCTCTTAGACTTACCCCTATTTATAAATTCAGATCAATTAAAATCCTATTAAAAACACTAGCACTTCCGATATACAAAGATATTCCTTATTCTGATCAGCTTCAATAGATCACAGCTTTAAGGCCAAAATAAAAAATAAAAAAAATCAATGTGTTAGCTAAAGCTGGCAGGGTCATTTCCATGTCTGAGAGCGTTAAAACGGATTAGGAAACTGTGATTGTTTTAAGGAACCTGAGCATGCAGAATATATTATCTGACTTTTGACTGATTCATTCCCCACTTCAAAACGCATTCATCTAAAGTATCTTTTATCAACCCCTCTTGGGGGCTGTTCAGACTTCTGTCTGATGAGAGGGGGGGGCTGGTCTGGGGTGTGCCACCTCTGCCTGCCCCTCCCGAAGCAGAGATGTAATGACTGCCTACAGTTACCTCTTTCTGGGCATGGTGGCGGAAGAGAGGGGAGGGTATCTGGGAGCCGAGACTCGGTCCCAACCTCCCAGCCATGGGAATCTGAAGGGAGCAACCATGCTTGAACATGGTCTACTGTGAAAAGCTCCACTTGGCTGCGGTGTTTTTCCCTTTCTGCCACTTCCCCAACGTGACAATCTACTGAAAGGCAGCACCACTGATTGTGAAGGCACTGTTCAACATCACAGGGATACCGTATGACAGTAGCAAGTCCAGTGTCTGGACAAGACTATGTAAAAACAACTCTAGTGGCTTCTTGACACTTGTTAGATGTGGCACAAGAACCAGCACGTTAATCTGGGATAAACCAGAGGGATGTTTGAACCTCTGATTTGTCTCCTGGATCCCTTTATCACTGGCCATTAAGTCATGCATGAGAACTGCAATTTTCCCAGTTCCTGTGTCACTCAAAGCGCAAATGGAGAGAGAAAAAGAGAGACTAGACATTTAAATGGGTTGACTGTGTGAGCGCCATCGGCATGTACGTGGCAAGGAATCAAGATGAGATTACCATACAAAAACGTGGGGTAGGGAATGAGTGAACTACCACATGCTGGATTTCTGGGCAGTGGGGTGCCTTAAACCTTTCCGAAGTTCTAGGAACAATCGCTCGCAAGAGAACCCAGAGAGCACCGTATGGATCACGACCCAACTTCTACAACTCATTTGCAGTACACACAGACAACATTTTATGGAATGCAATGAAGACAGACGATGGAACACGAAATCCTGATGTCTTTTCAAAGGGTTGTCATGAGCTTATCCTGGTACAACAGACTCTGGAGCCCACCCAGGTTCTTCTGGTTCTGTTCCTGGATATACCGTAAACTGCTGTCCTCGCCACTGGGCTTCCAGTACAGACTGTCATCGTGATAGGGTGGCCTGAACCATGCGCACAGTGAAGGCAAACGAGAAGCCAAAAGCAAAATCACAATTAGGAACAACAAAAAGGAATGAGTTTGTCACCTGGGATACAACACACACACACACACACACACACACACAATGAGGCGACAGTGAGGAACAAAAATTATGAATGGGGGGATGGGGGGGAGCCAAGCTGAAGGTGTGAGCTAAGCCCAGCTTGTTATTTAGTTTTGTCTTTGCATATCTTAAAACATCTTCTTCCTGTAACTTTTAATTTGCTGCTCAGCCTCTGCCTACAAGTTTGAACTCCACCTTCCATTCCAACGTTTTTGAAAAAGTGTGCCTCGCACACACAAGCTCATACCTTGAATGAATCTCTACGTGACTTGTCTGAATAAACTTACAATTTCCACTCCATATGTTCATCACTGAGTCTGATCTTCTTTTGGTGGATCCCGTTGGATCTCCTGCATGCACTTATATATTTTATCATGTATTTAGATGGAAGAGCTTTGCTCTCATACTTAATTGGGTCATCCCATGGCCGTTTCCTCTTTTCCTTATCATAATTGAATTACAGCAAAAGCATTCCTTTTTTCCTGTGGATAGTATGCCTCTCCCCCCCACGCAGGAAAAGACATGTGTTGTGAAGCATCCTGATCCAAAAAACCCTTTTCACAGCAAACCAGCCATGAAATTTACAACTACGAAGAACTCCGGTCATCTTTGGAGGCCCCCATGTTAGATGCCCCTGCCATCCGAGGTGGACAGGCGGGGCTACCCGAGAAAAGGCCTTCTCGGCTGTGGGACCAAATATTTGGAACTCTCTCCCCAGGGAGATTCATCTGTCTCCCTCTATTGGTGTCTTTCATCAGCAGACGAAGATTTTTTTCTTTCATCTGGCATATCCCCATATAACAGTCACTGGCCCTCCTTCTAGTGTTGTTTGTTTATGTGTTTTTAATTGAACTAGTTTATAATTTTAACTACCGTTTTAATTGATCAAATATTTAATTTTTTTTTCCATGTTCACAGCCTCGGGGACCCTAACTGGGTGGAAAGGTGGCATGAAAATGTGTCCAATAACTTAACTAACAAAATATATAAATAAAGGCACACACTAGTTTTCTAACAGTTCTAAGCAGGAAACGGCCACAACACACATACCCAACATGTTTGTGACATGCGCTATTTAGAGCTTTTAGGTAGAGAAAAGAGCAAGAGTCCAGTAGCACCACCGATTATTAAGGCACTGTTTAATATCACAGAGATACCGTATTATAGCAGCAAGTACAGTGTCATTGTTGTAGGACTTGAGCTTTCATGAGTCACTGTTCACGTCTTCAGATACCTGAAGAAGTGAGCAGTGTCTACGAAAGCTCCTCCCCTACCACCAATTTTGTTAGTCTTTAAGGTGCGGTGGCTCAAGTGGTTAAGATGCTGAACTGCAGGCTGTGGAGGGTCAGTAGTTCAGCAGTTCGAGACCCGAGTGTGCCGCATGAGAGTGGGCTCCTGTCTCTAGTTCCAGCTCCTGCCAACCTAGCAGTTCGAAAGCAAGAAATTGCAAGAAGATAAATAGGTTCCCCTTCGGTGGGAAGGGAACAGCGTTCTGTGCGCCTTGGTGTTTAGTCATGCCGGCCACATGACCACGGAAATGTCTTCGGACAGCGCTGGCTCTTCGGCTTTGAAACGGAGATGAGCACCGCAACCCTAGAGTCGGACTCGACTGGCTTTCGAGCAAGGGAACCTTTACCTTTAAGGTGCTCCTGGGCCCTCGCTCTTTTCTATTGCTATAAACAGACTGACACGGCTACCCATCTTGAGTTTTTAGGTATATACTCACGTATATACTTTTAGGCATATACTTAAATACCTTAAGTTACACCTAAAAGAAATGTATTGCGCTGTGGTTCCTTCCATAAGTTTTGACTGTATGAAAATGCATGTAAAGATTTTTTAATGGTAATCACCCCAAATATGTTGAATCAAGTGGAATTATATCCTAGGGACAACACAGCACTACCACTGCAAAGTCTCCCCCTATACTATGCAGTAACACCCACTCGTATTATAGTGTCACTATCCTAGTACCTGGTGATACGAAACGTAAGGTGAAGAAAATGCACCACACCACACAGTGGCAGCTTTGTGGGAAGGAGGTGATAAGGGGTCTTGTGTGCACATGCCTATACATGCGTATTCGTTTTGGCCGCATTCCCGTGCCACCTGTAATATATTGTTCACTCGCAGACTTTCAGAATACACGCTCTACAAGATATTCATTGGTGTTCCTTATTAGCTTCTTGCCATTCAATAGCTTTGTCATACGGCCCCCATTCCCTGGCCATTCCCCGGCCCCCATTCCCCCATCCAAGTACTAACCAGGGCCGACCTGGCTTAGCGACTGAGATCTGACGAGATTGGGCTAGTAGCCCAATCTCGTCAGATCTCAGTCGCTAAGCCAGGTCGGCCCTGGTTAGTACTTGGATGGGAGACCTCCACAGAACTCCAGGATTACTACATAGAGGCAGGCGATGGCAAACCGCCTCTGAATGTCTTCTGCCTTGAAAGCTCCATTAGGGGGTCGCCAAAAGTTGGCGGAGACTTGATGGCAATAAAATAAAATGAAAATAAAATAAAAGACCTCCAGTGCAAGTACCACTGAAACAAATGGAGCCAAGTTCAGAAGTGTCATTCTGGTTTTACTTCAGACACAACCAGAGCTTATACAGGAACCCATCTCTAGGCCTCAGCTGCCCTTGGGCAAAATTACCTCACACATCCCTCTATTTGTAAAATGCTTTCGGATGTTTCTCATGGATGAGCTGAACAATCTTTACGCAGACTGTAAGAAAGGTCAGGATTGTCCAGATAAACTTGGTGTGTGTGTGTGAGGTTCATCCTGGGGACACATTTCCCATTTTGTAGTGCCGAGGAAAGGAGACCCACTGTGGCATGAGGGGAAGAAAGGCTCCTTCTTTGCCCCAGCACCGTTTTTCTAACCCAAAACAGTGGGGGGGGGGGAGGGTAACCTGTCAGCAAATATACCACCCAACGCCCTTTTGGGTTAGAAAAACAATGTGGGGAGGGAGGGAGGAACCCCTCCCACCCATGCCATGGTGGTCCTGACCAAAATCAGCCCCCCCCCCCCCCGCAGGGTTCTTAAACGGCTTCCCTTGGCACTACAAAATGGAAGCCTTGAATGCAGCAGGTATGTCATCTCGCCTAGTTTGGTCTGAGCAGACGGAGGCTTCCCGTCTCTCCCACAGTGAGGGCAGCACTCAACCAGGAGCTTCTGGTCTGGGCTCACAGCTTACACCCGGGCCTTTGGCCAGGATTTTTAAAATGTGGGGTGCCTTTAAATAAGTCAGGGGGCACCTGGCACACGTACACCCAAGCGAGCGCCATAAATAAAATGAAAAATTGGAAGCCGCGGGGGCCTGGGATGGATGGAAAGTCAGGGGGCCCTGGTGGTAAGTGAGGGGGCCGGGCCCCGAGAGGCCCCACAGTAGGCTACGGGCCTGCTTACACCTCATTACTGTTCTGGGTGAAAGGCATGTTGCTTTCTTAAGACACGGTCTAAAAATCAGGCTGCTCCCTTTTCTCCCCCCCCCATCAAGTCACCGCCATCAAACAATTCAGATGAGGTTAAAACAGACGATGCACTTACCTTACATTCACAGGTGGGTGGGGGTGCCAGTGTGACTGGCTCAGGTGCATATTTGTGTGGTACAGGGGCTGGAAACAAAGAGCGAACCTTGGTTACTGGACTGCCTGCAACCGGGCTTGCACCCGCCGAGTTTCCTAAGGTAGCTTCTAAAGAAAAATGGAAACACACACACACGGCCAGACCCTCACCGCAGAGAAATCTGCGGCTACCTGGTCATGACCACAGCCGGCTGTTGATGACAACTCTGAACAAAAACGTTTAACTCTGAATTGTTAAACGTTTGAGTCCTGTGGCACCTGTAAGACCAACAAAGTTTAATTCTGGGTATAAGCTTTCGTGTGCACATGCGTGCACACGAAAGCTTATACCCAGAATTAAACTTTGTTGGTCTTACAGGTGCCACAGCACTCAAACTTTTTTCTGTCGCTTCAGAGCGACACAGCGACCCGCCTGAGAAGATCTGAATTTTTAGTTATCTGTCCGTGTTCGGCTTTTCAAAACTTCCCAGCCTGCGTGGTGCGGTGGTCAGATTGCTGTACTAGGATCTGGGAGAGCCAGGTCCGAATCCCCTCTGTGCCACGGTAGCTCACTGGGCGACCTTGGGCCAGTCACACACGCTCGGCCTCACCTACCTCAAAGGGTTGTTGTGTGGGTAAAATGGAGGAGAGGGGAATGATGGAAGCCGTTTTGGGTCCCCAAGTGGGAGAAAGGTGGGATTATATACAAAGTAAATAAATAGAAATCTAAGGACGAAGATCAGGAGGCAGAATCAGCTATATCACTTCACAGTGAAAGGGAACCACTTCCCCACCTCCCTAATCCTGCAACTAGAAAACGGTGCAGAGGGATAGTGGAGGGCTAGGCAAAACCCTTCCTTGCCCCTAGACTAGCTTTCTTATTGCAGTGAGTTATCCTTTTAAAATATGGGAGGAGCATTTAAAAGAAGCCTGAAGTGGTACAGTCCAATGCTCCCTCTAAGCTGTAAAGTCTTGTGAGCAAAAATTCTATTTTGTGAGCGACTGGCATTAAAGCTGTGAGCGAGCGATTTGGCTGCTGCATCAATTAGTTTGCTCTGGAGCCATCCTTCCTGAGCGAAGACAAAAATGTGTGAGCCGGAGGCTAAAAAACTGTGAGCTAGCTCACACTTAACTCAGCTTAGGGGGAACACTGGTACAGTCAACTCCACCGCCTCAAGAGTCTATCATCTTTTATGGGCTATGTTTCTTGTGCTGGGCTGGTTGTTGTTGTTTCTTTTTAATGCTGGGTTTTATTTAATACCTTTTAATTTTTGCTTTTTGTTGCTTTTATTTTGTGAGCCACCACTGGCAGGCTCCTGGAGAGGGGGCATAAACAAAAATTCTGAATAGAAAAATAAATAGAATCTTCCCATGCCACCGCATCCACAACTCCAGCCTCAGCGAGACACGGGTTCTTGCCCTACAAGAGTCTCTGGTGAATACACCAATCCGCGAGGCCAGTATACTTCTGAACGCTCAAACACCGTGGATGGGCCAAGAGCACTGCTAACGATCATGATCTCTGTGGCGGGAAGGAGCTGCGGTATGGCATGACGCGCTGGCACCCATAGGCCAACCCCCCCCCATATCTCTTTGAAGAAATTTCCCTCCCTTTCCCAAAAGACTAGAGCTCAAGGGCATCCAATGAAGCTGATGGGCAGTAGGTTCAGGACGGACAAGAGGGAATGCCTCTTTACACAGTGAATGACTAAAATGTGGCATTTGCTGCCAGGGGATGTAGGGATGGCCACAGGCTCAGACAGCTTTAAAAGGGAATTGGACAGATTCATGAAGGAGAGGTCTATCAGCAGCTACTTGACTCGGAGAGCCAGTTTGGTGTCGTGGTTAGGAGCGCAGACTCTAATCTGGGAGAACTGGGTTTGATTCCCCCACTCCTCCACATGCAGTTGCTGGTGTGACCCTGGGTCAGTTACAAGTTCTTTCAGAGCTGTTCCCTCACCGTCAGTTCTCAAAAGAGCTCTTTCAGCCCCACCTACCTCACAGGATGTCTGTTGTGGGGAGGGGAAGGGAAAGCTGCTCTGAAACTCCTTTGGGTAGTAAAAGGCATTGGTATAAATCCAATCTCTTTTTCTCTATGGTGACTAAAGGGAACCTCCACCTTCAGAGGCACTAATCCTCTGAATCCCAGAGCCAGGAAGCAACATCAGGGGAAGGCTTCGTCCTCTCTGCCCCGTTGTTGGACCTCCAGGGTAACTGTTTGGCCACTGTGTGAGAGGCAGGATGCTGGACTAGATGGACCACTGGGTCTGATCCAGCAGGGCTCTTCTGATGTTCTAAGGACACAGTCATACTTGGACATATGTGTTTGTGAGGGCCCCACAGTGGTGTCCCCAATGGAAGCAGGCCACTGAATCTTCTGGCGATGACAATCACGGGGGACAGATTGTGAATCTGACCTTTCCAACAGTTTCCACAAGGTACAAAGTGTTCCGTTGGCCCCAGGAGGAATACTCAACAGTGAGCATGCATAAGCTCACATCGCAAATACAAGCCTGTTCGCTTGTTCACAGTTTCAGGTTTTCAAGTGTGAATCCCAAACCTTTTAAGTGTGCAGTTGAAAAAAAGAACAATACATGACCCATTTTTTGACAGATCGTATTCATAACTTTGTGGTGAAGAGCTCTGATCTTTCAAAGGATCTGTCTAGGATCTCCAGGTGTTTTTTTTTTTAATAGACACCCTCCGAAGACCAGCTCTCGGACATGAATGCCTGTTGAACAGAATCTAACTTGCTCTTTCAGGAACACTGTCAAATAAATGGGAAGCATACAACACACCAATTGGGGGGGGGGGACACCCACATTTCAAGAACTCTAACTCAAGCAAGCAGGTGTCAGCAAGCTGCCATTCTGTTTTCTGTGACCTCTGTGTGCATATCCTTACCCTGTTGCACCCGGCTTGTTTATACTATCCTGCTTCTGTGCTGGAATGCATAAGATAACTACTGGTGGATGTGTGGGGGAGAAGATGCTGTAATGCTTGCCTATTGCTATCTCATGAGAACTGCACCTGTGTTTTGTCTGATGTTCTGCCTGGTTCCCATGGACTGGGCGCGCAACCGTTTCAGTAGCCCGCCAGCGGGAATATTATTCATTGGATATGTATCTGTTTGAATTTCCTTTATTATGCTCGCCCTAACTGTGTATCCCCAGTTCTAACAAAGAACGTGTTTGAGTATGTCTTCAACGCTTTGAAATAAATTTTGCTTTTCTTGAAAACGTGGATTTATTCTCGATGCTTGGGGATCCAACATATTGTTAGAACTCCCTTTCTCCTATCGTTCCGAATCTGGCAAGATCATGAGCGGAGCTGAGGGAGACCTACCGAAAACGGAGGGGGATTCAGGATCGGTCCCACACACCTCCGCTCCTTTGGTGACGGCAGCCTCGCTGGAGGGTGCCGTGGGGGGAACGATTCCCCGCCGGCCTGCACATCTGTCTTGGCCGCCTCCGACCCCTTCGCACTGGGGTCCGCGGAAGACTCAACGGCAGGATGACTGGACTATGTACAACACTCAAGGCACCCGTGAGGTGTACTCCCGTCGAGGGAGCGGATTACGTGAAAGTCTGTTTGACAAGGGATTGTTCCCAGAGCCGGGGGCTACCTCGGAGAAGGGGAGTTCCAAGCAAGACCTCGAGGAGTGGATGTTCGAGCCATCGGGGCCCCGAGGCCACGTAGAGGATTCGGAGGGAGCCGGGGGCTTCCAAACGGAAGGAGACTATGACCCACCCCCGGACTCCCACCCTCGAGATCCGATCCCTGAGGAAACCACCGGGGAACGACTGGAGGAACTGGAATACTCGGTGAGGGACCTGTTGAGGGCATTCCAGGATGTAATGGAAGCTCTGCCGGGGATGATGGACATTAGAATGGCTAATTTTCTTGATGCACACGCCGCGCAACAGCAAGTCGCCCCAGCACCGGGAGTTCCCGCGCCGCAGGTGCCTGCCCAGCCACCGGCCGGACCTCCGCAGCAAGTAGGACCTGCGCAACAGCCGATGCCGGGTCTGCCGCCGGGTCTGCCGCCACCGATGAGGCCAGTGCCAGCGGGACCACCGGTTGCTCCGGGTCTTCCTCTCGGGGGAGTTCCGGGGCAGCTGGGACCGTTGGTAAGGACTCCACGGCCCAGACCCAAGGATTTACTGGAGGCTACCTTTGACGGCAACCCAGAGGAACTCGCCTTCTTCACGGTGAGGGTGCACAAATTCGTAGAAGAGAGCCGACACCTCTTCCGAAATGAAGCTGCTCTCATTGATGTCATCTCGGCGAGACTGAAAGGAGACGCCGCCACATGGTATGTGGGACTGCACAATGACCGCGGTCCGGAACTTTTGAATTTGCGAGCATTCATGTGGGCGCTGCGGGCTCGGTTTGAGGATGTCAACGCGAGCCAAAGGGCCAAAGCATTTCTCCGCACCTATCGTCAGAACAAGAAGTCGGTTCGCGAATACACACTGGAATTCCACAAGCAGGCAGCAAAGCTCCGAGACTACCCCGATCACATTTTGGCTGAAATGTATCGATTGGGACTCAACGCGGACATCCGAGAAACGGTTTTGAAGACTGTTAATCCTATCTCCCTGATGGCTTGGACCCAGGAAGCTGAAAATGCAGAGGATCGGCTAAACACCATCAAGCTCGACCTGGCTGCTACGACCAACAGACCCGTCACTGCCAGCGCCTCCAGACCCAAGACACAACGCCTGTCGGAATCGGCTCGAGAACTACGCATGAAGATGGGGCTATGACTAAAGTGCGGGGAGAAGGGGCATTTCGCCGTGGATTGTGGCAGCCGTCAAGCTAAAGACAAGCCGCCTACTCCGAAGCCTAAAACGCCACTACCGGGGAAGACGGGGATGGCCAAACCACGATTCTCCAAAGCTCTTCAGGCGGCCCAAGGTCCGGAAGGAACCGAGCCGCTTGCTGCCGAGTCAGAAGAGGACGTGGAGGTTGAACCGGCGGAAAACGACAACGGCCTGTTGTGAGAGGCGCAAAACGACACGGCCATTCCAGCACTGCGCCCAAGGTGGTGAGAGAAACCCCTTCCCTGTTTTTCGTGACTGTTTCTTTAATGAATCCGCTCCTGGGTACCCACGTCAGGGTGAGAGCGTTGATTGATTCTGGGTGTGGGAGGGATCTCATCAGCCCTAGAGTGTTATTGACACTGGAAGCGGGGATAACCCCCTTGAAATCTCCCATCATTTTTACCCAAATGGATGGGGCGCCCATGGAACCTTGTACGCATGAGACTATGGCTTTGCGGTTGGGGGCTGGCGATCATTGGGAATCCAGGACCTTCATTGTTACCCCTAAGTCGCAGTTTGATTTGGTACTGGGGAGTCCCTGGCTATTTACCCATGACCCTTACATCTTGTGGGAAGAAGGGGTTGTCAAATTCGTGTCGCCAAAATGTGTAGATCACTGCTGGTTGGATTCGTGGGGAGACCGGCCTGCCGCGCAGTTCCCCTGCGGCGCTTTGAAGCCGGAAGAGTTAGCGTCTTTGCCTCGAGAGTATAGAGACTTGGCGAAAGTTTTTGGCGAAGAAGAAGCTAACGAACTGCCCCCCCATCGCTCTACTGACTGTGCTATTGAACTCTTGCCTGATTGTAAATTGCCTAAAGGTAAAATCTATGCGATGGGGCCGGCTGAGAAAGTTGAACTGCGGAATTTTATTGATAAAAACTTGGCCCGCGGTTTCATTCGCCCGGCTTCCTCCCCTTTCGCCGCGCCGGTACTCTTCCGAAAGAAGAAAGACGGGGGGCTCAGATTGTGCACGGATTATAGGGGTTTGAACGCTGTTTCTTTGTCCAATGCCTACCCCCTCCCCCTTATCAAGGACTTGGTAGCAGAGGCCACCAAAGGCAAAATCTTCTCGAAACTTGACCTACGGGATGCATATTTCCGAGTGCGCATTAGGGAGGGGGACGAAAGTAAGACTGCGTTTAATACCCCCTTGGGGCAGTTTGAATACCTCGTTATGCCCTTCGGGCTTCAAGGGGCTCCGGGGGTCTTCATGAACTTAATCAATGAGGTCCTACATGAATTTTTGTTCAAAGGGGTGGTTCTTTACCTTGATGATGTGTTGCTGTATTCCCAGGACCTACCGTCGCATATTAAATTGGTGCGCCAGGTCCTTAAGAGGCTTTATGAGCACAACCTGTTCGCCAAACTGTCTAAATGTGAATTCCACAAGCCCTGCATTGACTTTTTGGGTTATCGCATCTCCGGGGGGAAGGTGGAAATGGACCCTGCTAAAATACAGGCTGTGCTTGACTGGGAACCCCCCAGAACCCGCAAACAATTGCAAATGTTCCTCGGATTCGCCAATTTTTACAGAAATTTCATCCAAAATTTCGCTCAAATTGCCCTTCCTCTAACCGATTTGTTAAAAACCAAGGGAAAGGGGTTTGATGCTACAAAACCAGGCGCCCCGCTTAAATGGTCCCCTGCTTGCGCAGAGGCTTTTGAGAAACTTAAACTAATGTTCACGTCTGAGCCCGTGCTGGCGCGCCCTGATGAAACTAAAAAATTCATTGTCCAGACTGATGCCTCGGATGTGGCAATGGGAGCCGCTATTTTGCAAGAAGGGGAAGATGGTCGTTTACACCCCCTTGCATTTGTGTCTAAAAAATTTTCGGACGCTGAACGAAACTGGGGGATTTGGGAGAAGGAGGCGTCGGCTATCCGGCTGGCTCTCTCCACTTGGAGGCAGTGGTTGGAGGGGGCTCAACTGCCATTTGAAGTCTGGACTGACCATAAAAATCTGGAAATGCTGAAATCCCCCCGTTCTCTAAACGCAAAACAACTTCGTTGGGCGGACTTCTTTGCTAAGTTTCGATTCACTCTTCGTCATTTTCCTGGGACGGCTAATTCCCTGGCAGACGCGCTCTCACGCCTCCCACAGCATGACAGTCAGCGTGAGGTCATCATGGACTCTGTTTTCTCCCCCTCCCACCTGGGGGGGGCTGTTGTCACCCGCGCGCAAGCGCGCTCAATTCCTCGCTCTGATGAGACTTCGCCTTCCCTTTTCCCTAGGGGGGGGGGGCCTGGGTCCAGAAATATGTTTCTGCTTTTACTGATGAAGATAATGCCTCCCTGCGGGCATTGCCGGATTATGTCCGTAGCCCAGAAGGTCTGATTTATTCTGGGGACAAACTGTATGTGCCTATTTCAATGAGGAGGGAAGTGATGGATTCTGCTCATGGTTCCAGACTGGCAGGACATTGGAGTTTTGTTAAATCACTGCAACTCATCCGCAGACAGTTTTGGTGGCCACACATGCGAAAAGACCTATTGACTTTTGTTCGGTCCTGTCAGACCTGTGCCTTAACTAAACCCAGGGGGGGCAAGCCTCCCGGTCTTCTGCAACCACTCCCTACTCCATCGAGGCCTTGGGAAGTGGTGTCCATGGACTTTATTACTGATCTCCCTGTGAGCAAAGGGAACACTGTTATTTGGGTGGTTGTTGATTTATTTTCTAAGCAGGCTCATTTTGTGCCTTTTCCTTCCTTGCCTACAGCACAGAAGTTGGCGAAATCGTTTATGTCTCACGTGGTGAAAATTCATCAATTGCCTGCTAAATTAATTTCTGACAGGGGGACCCAATTTGTTTCTAAGTTTTGGAGGGAACTTCTTTCCATTTTAGGGGTGGAACAAGGGCTCAGCAGCGCGTATCATCCTGAGACTGACGGACAAACAGAACGAGTGAATCAGACCCTGGAGCAATATCTTCGTTGTTTTACTAATTATCAACAAAATGATTGGTGTGAATTGTTGCCTCTTGCTGAATATTGTTATAACAACACTGTCCATAGCTCCACGGGCATGTCTCCTTATAAAGCTGTTTCTGGTTACGACAGCCCCCCCCTCCCTTTCCTGGAGGGGATGGGCCAACGTCCCGTGGGGGATGCTAATACTTGGTGTACTTCATTGCAAAATGCATGGCCTCTGCTATGCCAAACGCTTGACGCAGCCAAGGCTGCTTACAAGACCCAGGCAGACAAGGGTAGGGTGGTGGGGTTTGATCTGAAACCTGGGGATCTTGTGTATGTCTCGACCAAGAACATTAAGATGCTGCGACCTAGCAGGAAATTGGGGTGGAAGTTCATTGGTCCATTCAAAGTGCGTAAAGTCATAAATAATGTGGCGGTTGATGTTGTTTTGCCTAAGAATTTACGTGCTCTGCATTCTGTTTTTCACATGAGCCTGTTGAAGAAGGATCCTGGCCCGTCTCCCTGGAGACCAGCAGTTACTCCTCCTCCACCTGTCATTTTGGAAGGGGATGAACATTTTGAGATCGCTGATATCCTTGATTGTAAATTGAAACGTGGTAAACTCTGGTACCTTATCGAATGGGTTGATTTCGGTCCCCAGCACCGCGAATGGGTGGAAGAAGGGGATATTCGGGCCCCTTACCTGATCCGTAGTTTCCACAAGAGGTTCCCGGACAAACCGGGAGGTCTCCCGCCCAGCCCGGGAGATCTCCCGCCCGACCCGGGAGGTGTGTTTTAAGTGTATTTTAAGGGGGGCAGTATGTCAGCAAGCTGCCATTCTGTTTTCTGTGACCTCTGTGTGCATATCCTTACCCTGTTGCACCCGGCTTGTTTATACTATCCTGCTTCTGTGCTGGAATGCATAAGATAACTACTGGTGGATGTGTGGGGGAGAAGATGCTGTAATGCTTGCCTATTGCTATCTCATGAGAACTGCACCTGTGTTTTGTCTGATGTTCTGCCTGGTTCCCATGGACTGGGCGCGCAACCGTTTCAGTAGCCCGCCAGCGGGAATATTATTCATTGGATATGTATCTGTTTGAATTTCCTTTATTATGCTCGCCCTAACTGTGTATCCCCAGTTCTAACAAAGAACGTGTTTGAGTATGTCTTCAACGCTTTGAAATAAATTTTGCTTTTCTTGAAAACGTGGATTTATTCTCGATGCTTGGGGATCCAACAGCAGGTAGGCGAGGAGGTGAGTAATCATGACGTTACTTGGGCCTATAATTAAGGTAATAAAACAACAAATCTGTATGCCTCTTACCTGATAGTTATGGACTTCAGGATTGTTTTTAGCACTGAAACGAAAATACGGATCAGGTATTTTTGCATAGGTTTTGAAAGGTATCACAGAAGCTCATGTTATCCATGAGTGAAACAGGCCAAGGAAATACTGATCTCCCACACACATCCCCATTAACACCCCCCCTCTCTCTCACACACACACTCAATCTAATTAGCGACCAGTGCTGTAACAATCCAAGCCTAACTCCTTTATATCAAATTCCCATCTATCCCTAGCTCTTGTTTGTTGCCTTTTTTTTTTCTTTACAAAAACCAAAGACTTGAGAAATTTTCTGCAACACCTGAACAGCTGAGCCAATGGCTAAGGGAAAGCTTATTTAAGTGAATGTATCAGAGTTCTCGCCAACAGTATTAGAAGTTTCAAATACTGCAGCCTGTGCTGATATCTTTTTTTTTTATTGTGTTGAGTTTTTCTGGTTCTTTGCTGCAAAGTGTCCCCTTTCAAAAACAAACGGTACATTCTGTGCTCTAACGTGATTCCTCGGGAGTCTTCATGACTATAGCAAGGGACCCAAGATTATTCCATGTAAACTTTGGCTTGATTCAGATGCAACGACAAATTACAGCTTGCTGCTGCATAAACAAGCCTGGTAGATCCTCAGTGTTATTTGCTCCCTCCCTCCTGTGTGTGGCCAGATAATCTCCATGTTTGCAGAAAACTACATTGCAGTTATGTCCAAACCAACAAAGTATAGTTTGTGCTTGTCCTACAGACCAGGACTCCAAACTACGGTTTATTCCCAGGATGGCATCCTGGGTAAATGCAAGCCACTGGATTGGATCCTACCAATTCATTCCAGCGGTGCCTACAGGCCTCTCCTTCTGTTGATGCAAGATACTTTTGTGTCCACACAAGGCAACCTGGTGTCAGCAGAAGGAAACTAGTGCTGGAGAAATGTGTGGAAGCTGATGGAAGTGAAATGGTGGGATCCAAACCATAGCTGTATTGCTTCAGACCAACACGGCTACCCAACTGAATCTAAGAATTATTATGGCCCCGTTCACACGGAGCAGAAGCCACGCTAAATAGACGGAAGAGAGGCGGAGTTACCTGGCACAATCACACGGCAACATCTGGGGAGCGTAGAGCTCCCGTGGTTGAACTGTGGCGAACCGCCGATAAAACGGAGCAAAAAACTAGTACCTCGGAGGTACTAGTTTCCGGAAACTGCGGGGCAAGGGCGGGCGTCTGATCGCGTTTCCGGTGGCATCCGGCGCCCGTCCATGTCCCCTTGCGAAGGTGGTTTTTTTTCCCCCCAAGTCTCCGTGGTTGCGCACAAGCACCCAACGGAGCATGCACATTCGTAGTGTACACAGAAAAAGGAAACTAGGTTGCCGCGCCGCGCGCTTCTTCGTTGCGCGCAGGCATGTGTTGTGATCGCCGCCTCTCCGTAACCACGGAAGCTCCACGGTTCCTCCACAGAACCTCCACAGGAGGTATGATCGCTTTACTGCGTGTTAGTTTGCCCTGGGGCAAACAGCCACGCTTCCCCCCCGCAGTTTCCTGCCCGTGTGACCGGGGCCTATGTTCATTTACAAACAGAAACTACACAAAGGAAGATGTTTTAGGGGGCAAACATCTACTGGAAGTACAGAGACACATTTTAGCCACCCAGAACTCTATTAAGCAGTAAAGGTACAACCACTGAAAAGTTCTGTGTAACTGAAAAACTTGCAGCTGTGCTCGGCCTCTCCCCTCCCCCAGCATGAATGTCCCACCCTTCTTGCCAGCCTTAAGTATAATGAAAGATTACATCAGCGCCAGCTTTTATTACTAGTGTTGAACAGAGTCTGCTCTGAAAATGAAATCTGTCGCTAGTATCCAAGTGAGCCCTGTTTAGTTCTGACCACAGTTAATTTTGGCATCAATACAGCCCTAGGAGAAAAGAATGTTGCACACACTAAGGGAACAGAGTGCACAACAGTGTGGCTGACCCCCCAAGCCATAGATGAGAATTTGGGATCATTATCTCTTTGCCAGCCCTAAAAGGCTTAACTGCATCTATTTCTACATGTTATTTTTTTTTTGCAACCCATAAAAGGCCGATACTGGAGAGCCAAGCGTGATGCATTTGGGCTGCGTTCCTACACCAGAGGTGTAGCACAGGGTCGCTTACAGCAGGCAACTTTTTATTGGGCCCGAGTCATGGGTGGCAGATACCAAGCCAAAGAACGAAAGAGCAGCTGCTGACACTTACCAATGAGGAGATAATTTCATAGGGTTGTTGGCTGGAGGGAGAGCAAAGAAAAGCAAGCGTGAGCATCACAATGTTGAAAAGCAGCAAACTTGTTTATTGAAAACGTTTTTATGCCACCTTTCCACCTGATCAGGGTCCACAAGGCAGTGGACATAATAAACATTAAAGCAACTAAAAATACAGTTAAAATGATAGAATAATCCAATTAAAAACAAAGACAGCACACTAGAAGGAGGGCCAGTAAGCAACAGAGAGATCACGGGAAGGATGCAGACCATGAAGAAAACAGCCATGATGTCGTATTATGAAAATATATATTTAAACTGCTATTTTGCAGTGAGTAGTATTTCTTCAACAGGTAATCAAGATGTATGCACACACACAACAGAATTTGTGTGCGTACATTTGTGTGTGTGCGTACAACGGAATACTCATCTGCGAACTTAACACTCAGCATGTTAAGAATTTGTTTCATTAATGAAGAAGAAGAAGAAGAGATTGGATTTATACCCCGCCCTTCACTACCCAAAGGTGTCTCAGAGCGGCTTACAAACTCCTTTCCCTTCCCCTCCCCACAACAGACACCCTGTGAGGTGGGTGGGGCTGAGAGAACTCTGACAGGAACTGCTCTTTTTCAAGGACAGCTGTGCCAGAGCTTGTGACTGACCCAAGGTCACAGCAGCAGGTGCAAGCGGAGGAGTGGGGAATCAAACCCGGTTCTCCCAGATTAGAGTCCGCACACTTAACCACTACACCAAACCACTACACCAAACTGGCTCTCCACACCAAAGTGGGAAGAATGTTGAGTGTTAAGTTCAAAGATGAGTATTGTTGACGTGTAAACTAATGTTATTCACGCAGCACACTGAGATAAAGCGGTCATGTGAAACGGGAGTATATGCAAATTCCGTTGAGTGTTGAAGAAATACTACTCACTGTAAAATAGCAGTTTAAATATATATTTTCATAATACGACATCACGGCTGTTTTCTTCATTGTCTGCATTATCGGGGGCATGCCAAACGAAACAAGAAAACTTTTCATATGCTAATGACAAGGCATTGATAGAGGGAGACGGACAAATCTCCCTGGGGAGGGAGTTCTGAAGTTTCGGTGCCACGACTGTGAAGCCCCTTCCCCCAGGTTCCCACCCATCTAGCTTCAAATGGCAGGGCCTCCGAGGATGACTGGAGTGAATGGGTAGGTCTGTATGGGGGAAGGCAGTCCTTGAGGTACATGTTGATCCCAGGATGTACCCAGGGCTTCAAAAGTCAATAGCAGCATCTTGCATTGAGCCGGGAAGCAAACTGGGAGCCAGAGCAGATGGAACAAGACTGGAACAATATATGGCTCCTACAACCATATGCGTTAGCATCGACGGAATGTCTGCTCACGGCCATTTGTGGACTGCCAAAGTGTCAGACACTTTGAGGAAGGAAACGCACAGCACTTCCACCCTCCATTTTCACCTACAATGACGCAATGGCCTCCTCTGTTCATTGCCACACCGACAAGGATGTAGTATCCACACCTGCTCTGTTCCCACTGCCAACACGTGTGTACAAAAACCAGTTCTGTAAGCAGGAGAAGGGATCTGAAAAAACCTAACAAGGGAATGTTTGGCTGGGGATCCTGGAGGGTTTTTTTTTTTTTGTCATATTCTGGGCATGGAATATGGGTCACTGGGGGTACGGGTATTTGTGAATTTCCTGCTTTGTACAGGGGGTGGGACTGGATGACCCTGGAGGATCCTTCCAACTCTATGATTCTATGAATGCTGCCCAAAAGGCTAATGCAGCTGTGGTTAAGGTGTGCCACAGACGACAGACTGATACACCATGACAGCATATTTGACACTGACCCATTTGCTTCTTTCTTGTAATCCTCTGATAAAAACTAGATGGTTTTGTGTGCACCTGGTACACTTTTTTCACAGGGTTAAAGATTTCAAATTCTGAAGAAAGCAGGGAAAGCTTAACCTGTTTTACAGCCAACTGCAGCAGAGTGATGCTGCAATCAGAAGTGGACTGTGGGCTTTTCTAGTGCTCCTTGATAGTTTCAAGGCTTGACGTTTCTCCGTACTTGAGACACACTCCCTTTGATGTCCTTACGACCTTCCCAAAGGAGCAAATATTATACAGGAAAACTCTGTTTTACTTGAGGATTTCTCAGGTGCTTCTGCGAGAACAGACTTAGGAATGGAAAAGAAAAGATAATAAATGAAACTGACACAACCATTGCTTTACCCATCCCTTAACGTACATCCCTTCAGCCGTGAAAGCTGAGATGAAATGAAGCTGTTTATGTCATGTGAAAAGAAATGGAGAAAGAAGCTACAAGTTCAGCAGAGCGTTCAGACTAAGGAAAACTGGCATACAAAGGCACAGGCTATGAATGCCAACCTTTGAAAGTCGAGTGCCTTCTTGAGGGGTACCGCTTGCTCGGCCTCCGTTCAAATGTGCTGGTTCTGCGTAACCTGGATCCATGCGTTGCCTGGTACTCTGTTCTTCCACTTATTAAAAAAAAGGGAGGGGCAACATTAGCATCTTAGACTAGATTAATGTCACAACCAATGCTCCCTCTAAGCAGTGGAGTCTGGTGAGTAAAAATTCCACTTTGTGAGCTACTGTCATTAAAGTCGTGAGCGAGTGATTTGGCTGCTGCATCAATTAGTTTGTTCTGGAGCCATCCCTCCTGAGCTAAGGCAAAAAGCTAGCTCACACTAACTCAGCTTAGAGGGAACACTGGTCATAACCTCCCCCCGAGAACACAAAAACCACACACACACAAACAAGCTAGATACAAAAGCATCAGTATGGCTCCTTTGCATCCCTCATAAAAAGGCAAAATGGCACGTAAGAAATGCAGAAATGGAACTAGTGTAGACAGCCATTCGCAACAACCAGAATATTAATATGGTTACAGAAGGGACTGGATAAACATATGGAGCAGAGGTCCATCAGTGGCTATTAGCCACAAGGTATAGATGGAACACTCTGTCCGGGGCAGTGATGCTCCATATTCTTGGTGCTTGTGGGGCCACAGTGGGAGAACGTCTGGAGTTCTGGCCCTGCTGATAGACCTCCTGGGGGCCCCTGGGTGACACAGAGTGTTGGACTGGACGGGCCACTGGCCTGATCCAACATGGCTTCTCTTATGTTCTTAACATAACAAAACCCAAAACAACAGCAGTTAGAAGTCATTCTTCAGAATGTGCCATCAAAACCTGCTTTAAAATGTTTTCATGAACAGCTTATATGGCAAAAGGTCTGTCAGTCCTGGATAAACCCATCCTGCCACCAATGTTCCCTCTAAGCTGTGGGGTCTTGTGAGCAAAAATTCTACTTTGTGAGCTACTGGCATTAAAGTTGTGAGCAAGAGATTTGGCTGCTGGATAAACTAGTTTGCTCTGGAGCCATCCTTCCTGAGCCAAGACAAAAATGTGTGAGCCAGAGGCTCAAAAACTGTGAGCTAGCTCACACTAACTCAGCTTAGAGGGAACACTGCCTGCCACCTCTCTAGTCCAGCTCCACCCACAGCTCCTCTCTGTTCTCCATGAAAACAGCTTTGCTGCCAATCTGTACCGTTGACCATCAGTGTCAGTACTGTCTACTCAAACTGGAAGCAGCTCTCCAGGGACTCAGGTCTTTCACATCACCTCCAGCCTGGTCCTTTTACTTGAGATGACGGGGATTGAACCTGGGACCTTCTCTACCATTGAGCCATGGTCCCTCCCCACCTGTGATAAGCAAGGATAGCCTCCAAGTGACTAGTCAAGAGTAGGGGTGTGCATAAAAAAAAACCCTCAGAATTTTTTGGGTTTGGATCTACCAAACCTGAAAAATTTCAGTATTTGCCAATATTCCCGAATCCCAATATAGGTATGATACTGAGGTTCAGGAATGATCAGACTAGCTGAATTTATTCAGCTCAATTATACCCTATGGGGACTGTCCCCATAGGGTATAATAATCCTCCCCTTGAAGGGGGGGGGGGGTTCCTATCACTGAAGGGAAGGCAAATTGAAGGGTGCGTTCCACCAGAGAGGTTTAAACTTTAAAGTTTAAATCCCCCTGAGTCACACCGCAGAGGCAGCACGCTCCCTTCATTGAACGGAAGACAATTTGCCTCCCCCCGAGCTAGCTCCCCTCCCCACCTTCCCTGGCCCGCCCGCCAAGGCGGGCAAGCCAGAGAAAGCCCTCAAAGGAGCGGGGAGGCATTCAAATGCCTCCCTGTACCTCCTCCAGCCCGCCTGCCAAAGCAGGTGAGCCAGGGAAGGCCTGAAGACAGCCCCCCCGCCTTCCCTGGCCCACCCACCGAGGTGGGCGAGCCAGAGAAGGTCCTCAAAGGAGTGGGGAGGCATTTAGATGCCTCTCCCGGCCTGTCCGCTGAAGCAGGCGAGGCCTGAAGTTGCCCTTCCTGCCTTCCCTGGCCCGCCCGCCAAGGTGGGTAAGCCGGGGAAGGCCCTCGAAGGAGCAGGAGGCATTTAAATGCCTCCTCGTACCTTCCCCGGCCCGCCCGCCAAAGCACTTTCCCTTACTTCTGGGGCTTGTGCTGCCTTCGCGGCACGACTCCCCCGGGGAGTCACTCCAGTGAGGCTGCAGGAGCCCCAGAAGCAAGGGAAAGTGTTTTAAGTTTAAACACTTTTCCTTCCTCACCCAGCAAAGGGATTCCCCGAATGGATGCCGAATATACGTCATCCATTTGGGGAAACCCTGTTTGGCCAGCCGAATCAGATTAGAGAATCTGATTTGGCTTTCGGCAGGCCCAAATAATCCCGAATAGGCATTATTCGGTTTGCTTCTCGGTTAGTCCGAACCGAATGCACATTCCTAGTCAGGAGAGCTTTTCAAAATCAAAGAGAATTGACCCACCATCCACCCTTCACCTTCAAGACATCAAAAATGCCACAACTGACCAACACAGGTGTGTATAGACGACTAAACTAGTTTGAAAAAGTAGGCTAGTAATTTTTGTGGATTTATCAGCAAGGCTACATATCCAATTAAGTACCTGAATCTGAAGCGGGAACCGAGCCGGATAAAATCTGACCGGCTGGATTTAGTGTTTGTCGGCGTGCGCAACCGGAAGAAGGCATGGTGTTCCACCGCACATTTCCATAGGTGCTTGCATGTTTTAGCACTGTCTAATCGGAAAACGAAAGTGTGTTCTTGCTCTCTACCCTAATAGAGGAAAACAGAACTCTGGTAAGTTCTCACGCATGCTGGCACTTTAAAATCAGGGTCACGGGACCTGGCAGTGGTCTGGGCTCCCTGATCAGGATCTGTAGAAATCAGAGAGCTCCAGACAGTGCGAGATCAGGCTCGAGCCAACCAGGAGATGGGTACCTGGTCATCGTCTTCCACCACCACGAGCGTCAGCTTGCTCTTTTTGAAGTCCATTTTGGTGATTTTAGGCCTAAGGAGAAAGGAAACAGGTGACCACAGATTAATTCACAAGACACAGCACAATCAAGGTGCCTAACGCTTTTATGCCCTGACCTGGATAGCCCAGGGTCGCCATCAATGCTTCCTCTAACCCATGGAGCCCCGTGAGCAAAAATTCTACTTTGTGAGCTCCTGGCATTAAAGTTGTGAGGGGGCGATTTGGCTGCTGCATCAATTAGTTTGCTCTGGAGCCCTCCTTCCTGAGCTGAGACAGAAATGTGTGAGCCGGAGGATAAAAACCGGTGAGCTAGCTCACACTCACTCAGCTTAGAGGGAACACTGGTCGCCATAAGTCAGCTGTGACTTGAGGGCACGTTCCACTACCCAAAGTTCCTTGACTTTGCTCTACGGCAGGTCCTACAATATTCAGTACTGATTTTCCCAAGAGGGAAGGCAGCAGGGCATAGCCCAATCTTGTCAGATCTTGGAAGCTAAGCAGGATCAGTCCTCGGAAGGGAGACCACCAAGGAAAGCTCTTCAGAGGAAGGCACCGGCTTCTCCCTTGCCCTGAAAGCCCCTCGCTGAGGTCACCAGAAGTCGGCTGCGACTTGATGGCAGTTTACACTTGCGTGACTTTTTCTGTCATCCAGGGGTGCACCTCATGAGAGCCAGCGTGGTGTAGAGGGGAAGGGGTTGAAACGTAAGCAGGACGGACTCACCAAAAAAATAAGCCTATCTTGTTTGCGCCTTCAAAGATCAGGATACCCGTCGGCGTCAACCCGAGGGCATACTCACAACCGTCTCTTCCCTACAAACAAGGCAAGATTACGTTGAAAGCAGTTTCAGGCAGGTTTATACTGGAAAATTGTTTCGTGGGTTGGTGTGCTGGTCTGCCGTAGAAGAGCTGGATTCGAGTCCAGCAGCAACTTAGAGACCAACCAGATTATCAGGGCCTGTGCTTTTGAGCATTAAAGTCCCCTTCGTCAGAAGAGAAACTGGGAACAGCTGATGAAAGCCTTTTAAGTGCAACGTTATTTAGTGCATAAATCATCACATTGAGTCATAACCTTCCCATCTGCTACAAAAATAACCTGCCATGAAAAATCTCTTACCTTAACAACGTGCATATCTACCCCGTACATCTCGAGCCATTTGGCTTTGTTCAAGTAGCACATTTCAGCCTGCACGGGGCTCTTTCCCCTAGACGTGAAAGGGAGGGGGGGTGGAAATCAGCTGAACTGGAAGTCTTCCCTTTTCTCTTTTAATTTGTTTTTAAGAAACCCCAATTTTGAAGACTATACATAGATCTTTAAATTCATTTTTTTAAAAAAATCCCTTCTAAATCCCTGTTCTAACAAACAGCACACATACAGACATGGGCATAGTCCTCTATCAATACTATACCTGAATTCTTTCCACTTTTGAAAAATCTCAAATTCCATTGCTTCCGTTTGGTTCGGAGTAAATCTGAACTCTGAGACGAGTTCCGGAGTGTGTTCTGGATGTTCACACTCGCCAAGCTCAGCTGCCAAAGGTGAAAATTGCAAAGGAAGGTTACTACACTGCAAATTAGATGATAATTCTCCCCAATTTACTATCCCACTTGGCACTCAGAAAAAATGTATATCTCCAAGGGGTTCAGGGTGGCTAACAGAGGTCCCTCTCTGTCCTCACAACATTAGGCTGGAAGTACACAACCGGCCCTTGGTCAGCCAATGAACTTCACAGCTGAGTAGGGATTTTCAAGTCTCCCAGTTACTAATCCAGCCCACTAACTATCACACTGCACCGGCTTCTAGAAAGTAAACTGCTTTCTGTAAAATTCAGATTCACATCTAACTTCATGGCAAACCTCTCCACCCTATTAGAATACTTCAGAATTTATTCTTCTTAATCCAATCGCTTTCTAAAGGAAAAATGACTGGTATAATTTCAAATAATTTTAACAACTGACCTGGGGACCCAAAAGACTTGTGAAAAGCAATTTCTGAAAACAGCAACCATATTTTTCACTTATCTCTTTTCTACCTCCTATGAATGTCTATAAATGGGTAATTCATTCTCTTAATTTTCCCAGTAGAGGGATTAGTTCTCCTTCCCAACAGATATTAGCACGGTAAATCTATTTCAATTCTAATTCCCCCTATTATTCGAAACTTTTTTTTCCTATTAAAATCTGGATAAAGTGGAGTTTATTTATAGACTCTGAAAGAGAAAAGAGAACAAACGCCAAACAGCATAGCACCCGTACAATAATACTTCGATGGAACAAATGTGAGTGTTCTAAATGACCCCATTTGCTACCTTTTCAAAAGGAGTACGTCGCAGGAACACGGCTAGTAATTTGGGACTGGAGTGAACCCCAGTGTTTCCAGGTGTCAGCTAGCTGCCATGCTTTCTTTGTTTTCTTTCATCCCTGACTTTTGCGCAGCCGCACATGCTTGCTTTGCTACCGTGGGTAACATAAGGGAGGCGCTCCCCCCCCCCACGAACTGGCTCAGCCAGACAGTGCTATCAGTATAACCTTGAAGGGAAGGGAGGGCTTGGATTCCACCATGGGTATGAATATTTCGGCTCTCAAGGGATTGGGGTGAATCTCCCGTTCATGATGTAATATCCTGCCGGGAGAATTCCCCCGTGCACGTGCTTGGATTTAATTTGCTTAGCTAGATGCAGCATCAGAGTATATGTATGGATCCCCTTGCACTAGTTGTTATTCCTGACAATGTACCTGTACCACTTGGCAACAGACCAGTATTCCAATAAAACATAGCCTTTTCAGGAGAGTGTGTTTGGACCTGCTTGCTGTTGACCCTGACACCAGGTAAGTACAGTCATTCCAGGTTTCCATTATCTTTCTTTTAGATCCCAGTAAAGATTTCAGTGCTCATACATAGATACATAGCTGAATCTAAAGAGCTTCTTTGGGGGAATTTAGATTAAACTTTCCAACATGAGAGAAAGCGGTAGCTGCCTTCTCGAGAAAGACAAGAACCCCGCAGCCACCTACTAAAATCTATATCTTATTTTCAAAAAGAAGCTTGTTCCCTCTAGACAATCAGGCCAGAATCCTGTGCAGAACATCACATATAAAGTGTTTATTGCACAGCAATTCCCACGGCCGTCAAGGAGGAGTCAAAACCCGGTCCCTCAAGTCGTCATCCATGAAACGGCCACCAAACAGTCAACTGAAACGACTGAGCCAGGGGCAGGCATTTACCTTGGAGGCACAAGGCTGCAAGTTCCACCGCGGTTTCGTAAGGGCATTTCAATCTGTGGAGAAAGACACACGATTAACTTTTCTTTGGTCAAGACTCAACATTTCTCATAGGGAAGAACAGATATCCCTCCCCCCTCATTCACACCCATGAAATGAATTGTGTGTGTGTGTGTGTCTGTGTGTGTGTGTCTGTGTGGTTTTCAAGGCAAGAGACATTCAGAGGTGGGTTTGCCATCGCCTCCCTCTGTGTAGCAACCCTGGGCTCCCTTGGTGGCCTCCCATCCAAGCACTAACCAGGGCCCGATCCTGCTTAGATTCGGAGATCTGAAGAGGTTGGTCTAGTCTGGGCCCTCCGGGTCAGGGCAAGAGACATTCAGAGGTGGGTTGGCCATCGCCTCCCTCTGTGCAGCAACCCTGGGCTCCCTTGGGGGTCTCCCATCCAAGTACTGACCAGGGCTGGTCCTGCTTAGCTTCTGAGATCAGACGAGATCGGGCTAGCCTGGGCCATCCTGGTCAGGGGCATCACAGCTGCATTATCTCCAACCATTTCTACGAGGATCCTCTTTTCCAACGTGAAGAAGGAGCTCGAGAACTGTATCTGGGGACTGCCCTCACAGCCGCTTCTGAGAGGCACAGAAAGCCCTTTCTTATTTTTTAATAAACACAATAATGTCCAAAATCCAATGCCCTGGCAGCAGTTGAGTCAGCCATCCACACAATTATCTACCCAGTGCTCCTGCATAAAGGAATATTCCCTGCAAGTAAAAAAACAAAACAATAACTAATAGGTTAGAAGGGTAGGCTAGAGCCCTTCTCCTTCATACGCCAGCTTTCTATGTACAGGGAACGGCTGGTGGGATGAAAACTGATCTGGATGGCCCAGGTCAGCCTGGTTTCCTCAAATCTCAGAAGATGAGCAGGGCCCGAACTGGTGAGTCCTTGGATGGGAGACCACCGAGGAAGTCCAGGGTTGCTACGCAAAGGCAGGCAAGGCAACCACCTCTGCTCATCTCTGCCCTGGCCTGGATGGCCCAGCCTAGCCTGTTCTCATCAGATCGTGGAAGCTAAGCAGGGTCGGCCCTGGTGAGTGCTTGGATGGGAGACCGCCAAGGAAGCCCGGGGTTCCTATGCAGAGGCAGGCCAGGGCAAAGCTCTTCTGGATGTCCAGAGTACTGAGCTCCTATCTGCTGAGCTACAGCCCAGACGCAGGCCTAAGATACCAGTGAGGCCAGAGTGCCTCCCGAGCCCAGCGCCATAGCAGGGTCCAGTCCTCCCCTTTCTCACAAGCGGAGATCAGAAGAGACAATGGCGACTTGCAGTGTGGAGGGCACCATCGCCACCCCTCCGCTCAAGGCAACCTTCCCCCCTCTTTCTCTGGGCATCCATCAGCCGCCATGAAAGATCTCAGACCCACAGAAGAAAGAGGAAAGTTGTTCAAAGTTTTTTCGTGTGTGGAGCATGTCACTGAGAGTTCGCAACAGTGGAAACTGGCTTCGGGGGACTCTGAAGGGAAAACGTCTTTCTCGGATATGAAGCATTGGTCGAGAGTTCCCCGTGGTCTCTTTCAAACATTGTTTTGCTTCAGAATGGGGCTGTCAGATGGCCTGAAGGGGACATGTGGTGAACTGGCTCAATTTCGGGCCCTTGACATTCGTTCCAGTGAGCCATTTATCATGCTGAGAACTTTGGTGCGAGTTGAGTTGGGTCTGTTAAAATTAGCGTTCAGAGTCCCCCTGTGCAAAGCAGCAAAGCCCAGATCCTACTATCATTTCACCTCAGTGAGCTCTCAGTTACCAGAAGCTATCAAAATACACAGGAAAGAAGATCAAGATGGGTAGCCGTGTTAGTCCGTCTGTAGCAGTGGAAAAGAGCAAGAGTCCAGGAGCACCTTAAAGAGTAACCAAATTTGTGGCAGGGGAAGAAGAGCTTTCCTGAATCACTTGGTTGGTTCCGAAGAAGGGAGCCGTGACTCACAAAAGCTCTTCCCCGGCCACAAATTCAGACAGACTTTCAGGTGCCACTGGACTCGTGCGCTTCAGTATCTGAAGAAGTGAGCCATGACTCACGAAAGCTCCTGCCCTGCCTAGAGATGTGAAGGCCCAGAAAAAAACCAGAAAAATTCAGGAAAAAAACGGGGTTTTCCCCATTTCCCCCCTGAAGACTTTTTTGTTTTTTTCCGAAAAATTGAAAAAAGAAAAGAAATTGATTATGGAACATTTTATTTTAACATGATGAATAAAATATTTTAAGACAAGGTGTTCAAATATTTTCCAAATCATTTCTAAAAAATATGTATGGTATCAGATTGATCTAATTTCTGTGCACTGAGGACAAGCAAGTCCTACGTTACAAACTGAACTCTCCAATGCAAAAACGTCGTTTAGGAGGAGCTATTGTAACAAGAAAAGAAAAAGGTTTCAGTTTTGTTTTTGCATGTGGGTGGGCATTCTGTTTGTAATAATTGTTTGGATACACTATATTTTTAATATGCTAGTTGTGATAATTTCATGCCAAGTAAAAATGTCCATAGTCATAGTTTATGTTCCTAAAGTAACAGAATGACTTTCAATCTGGAAAAGAAAAAAGAAGTGCTAATGTAGCATTTACTACAGTCAAGTATACTATTGTGTATGATAATTTTGTATAGCAGAGTGTGATTGTATAGTTGGATACCAGTCGAGTGGGAGCAGCATCTGGAGGACAGTTTATTACCTTGTTACGGGCAGTCTGGGGCTGCAGCGTGGACCGACCAAAAAGTATAGCGGTGGGTCCAGGCTGTGGAGTACGGGAAGGGCGTGGAGAAACAAAAGTGCTTGGCGCCCTTCCAGCCTGCGACCCATCCCAAGGGATGACGGCAGTGGGGCTAGGATTAGTAACCCCCCACCGACATTGGTGTTGTGCAATGCCAGGTCTATTAACAACAAAACAATGGTCCTGCGGGACTTTATTGTGGAACAACAGGCTGACCTGGCATGCGTGACGGAGACCTGGGTGCGGGGATGGGGAGACTGTCGCTCTCTCCCAGCTTGCCCTACCGCTCTCTCCTGAAAAAGCCAACTCTGGACCCGGCTGAATTGGCCAGCTATCGGCCGGTGTCCAATTTGCCCTATTTGGGCAAACTGATCGAGAGGGCAGTGGCAACTCAGCTACAGGGCTTTCTAGATGATGCTTCCACCCTTGATCCATTCCAGTCTGGCTTCCGCCTGGGGTATGGGACAGAGACAGCGCTGGTTGCCCTTACTGATGACCTCTGTAGACATCTGGATCGAGGCGGTGTGGCGGCGCTGTTGTTGTTAGATCTGTCGGCCGCATTTGATACGGTCAACCACCAGCTGCTGAGCCACCGCCTTGCCGAGGTGGGGATTCAGGGGCTTGCCCTTCAATGGCTTGCCTCTTTTCTCCAAGGTCGGGGACAGAGGGTTGGGCTAGGGGAGCAGCAGTCCTGGAGGCACTTGCTGGAATGTGGAGTGCCTCAGGGGGCAGTACTCTCCCCGATGCTATTTAACATATATATGCGCCCCCTCGCCCAGATTGTCCGGAGGTACTGGTTTGGGTGTCATCAATATGCAGATGACACCCAGCTCTATCTGATGTTGGGTGGCCAGTCGGACTCCGACCCAGAAGATCTTCACTGGGCTTTACGGGCCGTGGCTGGGTGGCTCAAGCTGAGCCGGCTGAAGCTGAACCCGGCGAAGATAGAGGTCCTGTGCCTGGGTCGTGGTGGTATGGGATTGGGGCTCCCACTCCCAGCCTTCGATGGGGCACCTTTGGTGCCAGATTCGGAGGTTAGGAGTTTGGGAGTGCTCCTGGACCCCACCTTAACGATGGAGGCCCAGGTGGCGGCCACTGCCAAAGCAACCTTTTATCATCTACGGCTGGTGCGGCAGCTGGTCCCCTTCCTTAGACTTCGGTCGGGGTCACAACACCGCCTAGTGACCCCGGGTCCTAAAGAGGCCAGGCTTGCTGCCACAAGGCCCAGGTCCTTCTCGGTGGCGGCTCCTACCTGGTGGAATGAGCTCCCGGAGGAGATCAGGGCCCTGCGGGACCTCTTACAGTTCCGCAAGACGGAGCTCTTCCACCAGGCTTTTGAGTAGGAGCCGCCGCCGCCGCCACCACCACCACCGAGTAACTGCAGAGCAGGACCGCCGGGTTGGGCCGACTGGCCATCTGGAACATCTTGGCCCATGGCATCCCCCCTCTTTGATCCCACCGTGATATACAATAGGGAGTGAGTATTTTAGTTCCTAATGTATCCTGCAAGATGCGAGCTTTTGTTTTAATTGTTTTAACTTGTCCTATTTTTATTGCACTTGGTGCCTTAACTGTTTTAATCCTGTTGTATTTTTTTGCACAGTTGTGCCTATGTAAGCCGCCCTGAGCCCGCTTCCGGGGAGGGCGGGGTATAAGTGAAATAAAATAAATAAATAAATAAATTTTCAATTTTCCCAAAAAATTCCGTTCCCCCTCGAAAAAACCCAGAAAAAACCCGGGTTTTTTTCCCCCAAGCTTCAAAATTTCCGGAAATTTTACATCTCTAGCCCTGCCACAAATTTGGTTAGTCTTTAAGGTACTCCTACACAGGAAGAAGAAACTGTTATGTTAATCTGATGTATCTTAATCAACTGACATTGTTGTCACTAACCAAAGTGTTGTGTAGTAGGAAGGGAATATTTTGAACAATAAAAGGCAGGACTTGGAGGTTTTAAATCAAGAGCTATGTTTCATTTTATTTTGAATGCCTCCTGACAGGAAACGCAATTCAAATATAGTAAGCATAAATAAAGATTTGCACTTACTTTCCTGAAAGAATGTCCTGCCTTAGCTGCAATACAAACAGGTACCTAGCAACATACAAGCAAAACAACAGTCACATTTCCCAATAGTTCTGCACCCATTCTGGGAAATTAAAAAAAAATCACTTTGTAGCAGAACATTAAGAACCATTCTCAAACCTTTAGCACCAGAGGATTTCCACACACACACCCCCAAGGGATTATTCTATAGGGAATAAGAAGAGATTGGATTTATACCCTGCCCTTCACTTGGAATCACCCCTTCCCCTCCTCACAACTGACACCCTGAGAGAGCTGGGCTGAGAGAGCTCTTTCAAGAACTGCTTGAGAGAACAGCTCTGAGAGAACTTGTGACTGACTCCAGTTCACACCAGCAGCTGCATGTGGAGGAGTGGGGAATCAAACCTGGTCCTCCCAGATTAGAGTCCATGCTCTTAACCACGACACCAAACTGGCTCTCTTGGGTTACTCTTGCATTCCCAATACCCCACAATCACTTATTAAGCAGTAGATCTATAGGGAGTAGAAGACTGATTATCAACAGATCTTATTGAAGGTTTCTTGTTGACCTGCTTATACAAGAACTTAGCCACTGAATCTGTGAGCCAGCAACAAAGCAGGGGGTTGGAGAAGATGATCCCTGGGGTCCCTTCCAGCTCTGCGTTTCTATGTTACACCAGCAGAGTTGGATGGGATTACGTGGAGCTCCATAATGCTTTGAAACTGCAGAGTCCCAACTACAGAACTGCAGTTCAGTACAACACTTCGCATTGGGTCTCAGCTGGGAGACTGCACATGGTTCGGGTGAGTGGCATGGATGCAGAGAGAGGGCAACCATGACGACGGAAAAGCAAAGCAAGTTTGGCTCCCAGACTGAACCCACCGGCTTCAATGGAAGCAACTGGAAACAGAACTGGGTCTAACTGGCAAAGCCTTGCCCTGGGATCTGTCATCGCAATCATCTACCGTGCACCAGGATGTTGAAAGGAGGCCCACCCAACCTGGAAAGTGAACTCCAGGCCAGTCCACCACCCCACTCCCAGGTCTCCAGCCACGAGGCCACAGGCTCAGCCTGCACAAGGGACAGACAGAGCGTACTTGTCCAAACCCGTGCTGCAGCTCGCTCCCCCGGACTACACACAGCTCCCAGGCTTCGAGGAGGAGGAAGAAGCAAGCAGCACCGGCTCCGTCCCTGAACAGGAATTTCATCCGGGACAGCCGTGCGGGAAGGGGCAGGCCCCTTCCTGGACTGGAGGTGGAGGGAATCCCTGACCCTCAAGCTGGCAAACCGGCAGAGCTGTTAGCCCATGGGGGGGGGGGGTCTTTCAGTTCTGGATGGACAAATCAAATCTTGAGGTGGGTAGGTGGGCTTTGTTCCCATCACAACACTGTCCCCACATGGTGCTGGAGGTGGTGGTAAGCACTGTCAAGTCACAGCCAACGTATGGAGAAACCCCCCCCCCAGGGCTATTTTTGGGCAGGAACGCACAGGAACGGAGTTCCAGCTGGCTCCCGAGTTGGCCACGCCCAGCAGGAACTCATTAGCATAATAGGCCACACCCAACAGCAGAAACTCATTAGGACTGGCTACATTAGGGGTGTGTGGCCTAACATGCAAAGGAGTTCCTGCTATAAAAAAAGCCCTAAACAGAATAAGAACCAAAAGGTGAGTGTATCCGGATGACCACACTTCTGCGAACGTGGGGTGTGTGGCCTAATATGCTAATGAGCTGTGCTGTCAGGGGTGTGTCCTAATAAGCAAATGAATTTCTGCTGTTGGGTGTGGCCTATTATGCTAATGAGTTCCTGCTGGGCTTTTTCTACAAAAAAAGCCCTGCCCCCCCCCCAATGGTGTTTTCAAGGCAAGAGACCCTTCAGAGGTGGCTTGCCATTGCCTGCGTCTGCGTAGCAACCCTGGACTTCCTTGGTCGTCTCCCATCCAAGTACTAACCAGGGCCCGCCCTGCTTCGCTTCTGAGACCAGATTGGACCAGCCTGAGCCATCTAGGCCAGGGCACAGACAATAGCTCCTCTCTCCCCAACAGGATTAAGTGGGGTGGTTAAACCTGCTGCCCGGTGACCCCAGCCGAGGCCCTTCCCGCTTTCATGGCCCCGTTTTCAGTTCTGTTTCCAGTGCGTAAGAGAGTGTTGGCTTTTCACCAGCACTAGTGGTGCCAAATCTATAAAGAAGCACACTGGGGCTATTTACGCCACAAGGCTCTGAAGAAAGCAAAAACAGTCATTGGATTATTAGGGCGGAATCAAAGAGAACAGAGCGTAATGACAAATGATGGATGACCTCTCAACAACACCCTGCTATTTACTCCTGTTAGCGTAGGAAGGACAGTATCATTTTGTACATTAGGAACGACAGGTTAATAGGTGGGATGAGGAAGGATCTCTGCTGATGACAGGCTCAACGCCAGCTAGAGGTTCTGAAGGACATTTTGCTCAGAAGCCTCATCGCCCAGTGAGCAAATGAGGAGGGAGCAGATCTCTCTCCTCTCTGAGATCAATCTTCATTGCCACCCTGAACATAAGAACATGAGAGAAGCCATGTTGGATCAGGCCAAGGGCCCATCCAGTCCAACACTCAGTGTCACACAGTGGCCAAAACCCAGGGGCCATCAGGAGGTCCACCACCAGTGGGGCCAGAACTCCAAAAGCTCTCCCACTCTTGCCCCCCAGGCACCAAGAATATGGAGCATCACTGCCCCGGACATGGTGCTCCATCTATACCTTGTGGCTAACAGCCACTGATGGACCTCTGCTCCATATGTTTATCCTGTCCCCTCTTGAAGCTGTCTATGCTTGTAGCCACCTGTAGCAGTGAATTGCGTGTATTAATTACTCTTTGGGTAATTAACACATTCTAAACCTGGTGCTCATTAATTTTGTTGAGCGCTGCTTGAGTGCCCCCAGGTTCTTGTATTGTGAGAAAGGGAGAAAGGGGCTTCTTTTCTTACCTTAATCCCATGCATAATTTTGCAAACCTCGATCATGTCACCCCACAACCATCATTTCTCCAAGCTTAAAAGACCTAACCTCTTTAACCTGTTCCATGCTTTTAATTGTTTTAGTTGCCCTTTTCTGCACCTTCTCCAATGCTATAATATCTTTTTTAAGGAGAACAGGAGATGGGCAAGAACCCCTCCTCCTCCTCCTCTTGGCCACTAGCTGCTTGCCTCTCGGTCATCTGGATGAATGACCAAGCAGTGATGCCATTGAGGAGGAGCAACAGGTGGGAACAGTGGGCCTAGCTTGGCGCTTGGCTCCACACAGAAAAAGCAACAAGGATTAGGACCTTCCCCTCATAGTACCTGAGCCTCTCTTGCTGAACAAGGAATGACTGTGCACGGATGGACCAGGAAGGTGGTGGCTTCAAAAAAGCATCTGAATTTAGGATTGCCATGTCCCAACGATGTGCCAGTGGGGAGTATGAGGGAACTTTCTGGGAGCAGGGAGGAGCACCATGATGTGCCCACATCACCAGAATGTCCCAGGGCAAAGGGAATGCCCCAAAACTAAGGGAGGCAACTCTCGGCACTCCATATCTTTCCTAGAACCAGGGAATGCTGGATCAGGCCTTAAGTACTCTAGCTTTTACAAGAAGCTGGAAAGAAAAGCCTAGGATTTTTTTTCCCCCAGTGCAACCAAACTAATAAGGAAAACACGAGGCACAAGGCAACTAGGTAGTAGGAACACTACCACACCACCTTCTCCAAGATGACCTGACCTCACCATGCCACTCCTAGATGCCTCGTTCATAGTTGGGACTCCAGGCCAGGGTAGAAGGGATCATCTGCCTGTAGAGAAGACAGACAGAAAACCCGATAGTAAAACCGTTTACTCTACTGGACAGATGATCCAGAACATGCGAGAGGTACTTGAGTGCCTTCCCTACAGGGAGGGAACCCAAGTCCTCATCTGACAATGGTGACCTGAAGTCCCAACCATGAAATCTACAGCAGGAAGATGTCCAACAGCATAATCACAGCCATTACTAAACCTCCACTTTACCACACACACAAAATTACCACAGTGTGGAAGTGAAACTGCCCAGGACAGAATGCCTCTGAAGCTGCTAAGGTACAATCCTATAAGTAACCAGAATGTCTGCTGCATAGTTTGAAGAACCTAGCTGTCCTCCTGTACAGAAACACCAAGTGAAAATGCACTCCGTTTCATAATTCAGGCAGGAAAATACGCATCAAGCTACGGTAAGACAAGGTCAAAAACTGGTTGAAAAGGCATTATGTGGCATGTAACTGTTGAAGGAAGCCTGCCGACTTTGAATACCAGAACGACAGACGTCATTCTATCCATTATTTTCATCTGAGGGCATTAAATAGGTTACCAATGTGGGGCAGGGGGGCACCGTGGCCCCCACCAAGTGTTTCTAGAAAGTGGGCGGGGCCAAGTGGGGCTTTTGCCTAGCAAGGTTGCCGATTGGTTGCGCAGATTTTTAAAAACGTTGCTTTGGCAACAGTTGCTACTACTGCACAAGGACCTTGACTGCGCAACTGAAGGCAAGCTGGGGCAGCCATTTTATGACTGGGTTGGCTTCCTGAGGCCGCTCTCTTGTGCCTGTTACTTCAGGGCTGCCTCCACCATACTGGGTTAGAATTCTAAAGGTGTCTGCAGGCTCAAAACACTGGGGACCCCTGCAGTACCCTCATACATACAGCCCCACACCAGAGATGCATATTTGGAAACAACGTCTGCTTATTTTAAGTTGGTATCAGGAGAGAGATGAAATCGCGGACTGATCTGGGCCAGTGGGGTGAGATCCAAGCTCAGTAGCTGTTTCCCTCCCGGCTGCAGGTATTTAAGTCTGGGCGTGTCCAGAGACAGGAGGCTTTTGGTAAGACCCAAAGGGGCTCCCAGCTTGCAATTTGAGGCCCAGAATTAGTAGAGCCAGTGGATTCACGCCTGGACCGTGATGTTGCATTGTATATATTTCTTTCATTTGTCTAAATTATATTTTTGTGTTTCTTTGCAAGATACCTTTAATACCCGGTGGGGGCAGGGAGGGGGGGACCAGTCAGAAAGAGTTCAAGCAAACAAGCAGAAGACGGCACTCCTTCCTCTTCCACTTTCTCTCCTTGCTCCATGTTCCCATGACTACCAGGGAGGGAACAACAGGCATAAAACGAAGCAAGAACAAAGAGTAGTCTAAGTATGCAGACTTCATTCTCCGTCTCCATTAGGGTTATCAGGGGCTTACCATCTGCCGGCAGGGGCCTCCACGCTGCTCCCCGGGATCTTCTTGTGCGTGCCGCAGTGACATCAACCGGAAGTGACATCATCGTGCCAGGCACATCGTGTAGGGGACACTCTAGCATTTGGCCAATTGGTGACCATAGAGTTTTTAGCCAAATGCTAGAGTGTCCCCTGCATGACGTGCCTGGCATGATGACGTCACCTCCAGGTGACATCATTGCACCAGTTACATCGGGCGCAGCAGGGCTCATCAGGGGTAGGGCTCCCCCTGCTGGCCAGCTACCAGTGGCAGATTGGGCCCCCCGAAACCAAGGGAATCCCCATCAGGGGGATGGCAGCCCTAGTCTCCACTGAAAACATCCTTGCATCTGTGATACCCTTTCCTGAGTATCTTCTATGGTGGCTTGGATCCACCAGAAATTTCCACGGATGGACGGGATTTCCTCATCAAAGGAGCGTGACTTTCTTGCCCTCCCCCACTCCCCCTGCAGCTCTAAATGCCACCCAAAATGCTGCTCCTGGAGGGGCTGGGGAGCCCCCCAGAAACACCCAAAATTGGGCTTCGATGCAGCATAGCAAATATCTGATCTTTGAAGCACATATCAGATCGACCAGTCATGACATCCTCAAGTAACACACAGCCGTTCACCTCCGGCCACTCAATCCCTCCCGGTAGTTAAGCCCTAAAACAGCATGGAAGTTGACTGCGATGAAGCCGAATCGTGACTAGAAATTGCATGTGAACTGCGGCTTAACTTGGAAAGGGCTGTGGCTCGGTGAGGGAGCCCGTGCAGAAAGCCCAGGTTGCTCCGAAGAAGAGCATCTCGGATAGCGGGACTCTGCCGAAGGTCCTTGGAAAGCTGCTGCCGGCTGGACTGGCTCAACCACACGTGGTCCAGTTCCATATAAGACAGCTTCATGTATGCTCAAAATCTAAGCAGAGGCATCCCTTAAATGAAGTTAAGGTGGGAGCTGGGAAATGTGTGCTTGAGAAGAGAGTGGGAAAGAGAGCAGGAGCTCCTATTGCTGGCTCTTGAACCCTTTACCAATGTTAAGGGGGGATAGAACAAGTATTAGGGTTGCCAGGTCTCCTCTTACCTGCAGCAAAGGGCTCCTGGCTCCTTGTTGGGATTTTTCTGCTGTGCACACAATGATGTCACCAGCAGTGACGTCATCACATTAGGCACAGTGATGCTCTAGCGTTCGGGGCAAAAAGTCAATGGTAACCATAGAGTCCCGTCCCCCCGGAATGCTTGTGTGTCGCTGCGCAATGGCCCCAGTGTGATGCCGTCACTATCGGTGACACTATTCCACCAGCCGTGTCCCCACGGGATGCTGCTGTTCAGGGGTGGGGCTTCCCCCACCAGCCAACCGGCCGGCAGCGGATTGAGGCTCCCGAAATCGGGGGATCCCCTGGCCCCACGGGGGGGGCGGGATGGCAACCCTAACAAGTATACTGGAGATACATTCACTTACACAAATTCTGCCCAAATTTAATGAGCAGACTCCACAAAGTCCTAATGACAGGGGCTGAATCTGGATAGCAAAGCAAACCAGGCCGCACCTGGTAATAAACCAACTGACAGCCATTTACTGGTTTTTACTTGTAAGCTGCTTCAAGCAGGGCTCTGGGAAGATGGCATACAGATGTCCCAAATAAGTAAGTTCAAGCATAAGCTGCACAGCGCTCTGTTCGTTGTGCAACTACACAAAAAGCACAACCCCCAATCTATCCCCCCACCCAGTCTCATAACATATATTAAGGGCTGCAGTTCCGGAGACCTTCCTACCTTGTGAATTCCTCGTGGAGATTGTTTGGTTCTGATGAATAGTACTTGATCCGAAACTGCAACACATAGGGTGGCCCAACTACACAAAGAAATGAGACCAAACAATGAGCAAGATTAAATATACACGATAGCATCACAAGGGATTTGGTGAGGTTGATGGAACTCTGGCTTGAATGGCCCTGATGTGGCGGAGGTGCGGAAGGAGAAAGGAGGGTGAGGGCAGGGAGTCCAGAGGCCGTGCGGTTGGAGAAAGACAGCAGAGCAGACCAGAGTCTCAGAAACGGGAACCTGAAGGTCAGACCTAGGGATGCCAGTCCCCAGGTGGGGGCGGGGATCCCCCAATTTGGCAGGCTCCTGCTCACCACCGGCCAGCTTGGATACAGGCGCAGGGGAAGAACCGGTCCCCAACTTGACGACATCCCTTTTGTGTGATGTCATCACGTTGGGGATGTCCCCGCCCCCCTCCAGAAAGGCCCTCCAAAGTCCCCCGCCGGGGACTAAGAAGGACCCGGCAACCCTCGTCAAACCAGATGCAGTGGCAACCCCCAGGAGGCCTGGAGAAGGGTGGGGGGGCAGCAGAGTGACGACAAATAGGCCACTTCCCAGGCCAACCCGTAGGAAACATTGCCGCATTGGCACGACACTCTAGGATTCACCTAAACCTCTACGGTTTTAAACCCCATGGAGTGCTGGGTGACTCCTAGAGCACTGTGCCAATGTGGTGACGTCACTGCCACAGTGACACTGCAGCACTGGTACCCCACCAATCCCGCCCCCTCCTTTGTTCCCACTGTTCCACTGAGCAGCGACAGAAGTGGCAGGGCCCGGGACAGGAGGAGTCTGTCTCGGTGACAGCTGCTTTCAATCGTATTTCTGCCCCCTTCACCCACTGAGTGGTGGACGGGTGGGGGTGGGGTGTTCCAATATCTATCAAGAGAACACGCGGGTGCTAAAACTACCCGATTCAAATTCCCAAGTCAGCCACAAAGCTTCCCTAGTGGACCTTTGGGTCAGACATTCTCTCAATCTAACCTGTTTCACAAGGGGGATAAAAATGGAGGCAGGCACGACTATGTATAAAATGCCCCGAAACTCAGTACATTAAAGACTACCTAAAAGTTAAACTCACAGATGACAGGCAGGCTCTGATCAAGGGCATTTCTTAAAACTAGGAACACAGCCCTAAAAACTGAACACCCCCAGAATCACTTAATCCATAGTCTTAAATATGAAGAGATTTTAAATTATGTTCTAAATTTACAGATTGGCGGTCCGTGAGACTCTCGTTTTTAAAATAAGTAGAAAGGCTGAGGACAGCCCAGCCAGATCCGACATCCCCGGTCCAAATTAACTGATTTTAAAGGTTTATTGGTGACATTTATTTACTTTCAGTGGGGACTCCAAGCATGCGTGGGGATTTGAACCTGGGCCTCACAAATCCTGGTCTGAAACTCTGACCATGGCACTATATTGGCTTTGATGGAACAGAAGCGGTCACTTGGGCCTGGGTGTCACGCGAGTCGCATCGTAGCTGCCAAGCATGGCCCCGATAAATTCTCCCAAAAAGGCCAAAACAACACTGCAAAGTGCCCCCCTGCCCTTTACTGACAAAAAACAAGGCTTTCACTGGCGACATCGTTGTGGGTGACTGACAACGGCCACAGAGAGCAGGTGCTACTTCTGTTATGGGGTGGTGATTTAGCCCCTACTTTGTTTGTTTATTTATTAGATTTCCATTTTTTCAGCAAACCCAGGGCTTATTTAGGATTGTAGAAAGGAGGAGGAGGAGGAGGAGATTGGATTTATACCCCATCCTTCCTTCAGAGTCTCAGAGCGGCTTACAATCTCCTTTCCCTTCCCCTCCCCACAACCAACACCCTGTGAGGTAGGTGGGGCTGAGAGGGCTCTTTTGAGAACTGCCATTTCAAGCACAGCTCTAACAGAACTATGGCTTGCCCAAGGTCATCCAGCAGCTGCGAGTGGAGGAGTGGGGAATCAAACCCGGGTCTTCCACACTTAACCACTACACCAAACTGGCTCTCAAAGGTTTGTTCCCGGTTCCAATCTCCAGATTTAAGTATCCACAGATTTTGTCATGATAAAAACTAGATATATTTATTGATAATTAGTTAGCCAAGAATGTGAGCCCTACCAAGTAGGGCAGTTGAAAATTATTAAAGATGATTTTGAAAACCCGGCAGTGTGTGAGTCTGGACTGCTTGTTCACGGCTTCTTAGAAGGGATGCCTCCTCTTTTGACCTGCTTATTTTCAGCAAGGTACTTAATAGGCTCAGTTAACTGCTCCCCTTTAATTATCTATGCAGAATCAATGGATGGTATCTTTTTAAAAAATATATCATTAATGTAAAAAAGTAAATATTTACATTTTATTCAGATGCTAAAATGGGGTCAATATTCTGTAATAATATTTCTGCTGGTACACTTTACCTATAATGTACCAAAATGTTAGGAGGTTGCCAGGAAATGAATGGTCTATGAAAGTTACCTAGTCACCTAAGGCTTCAAAAGTGCTCACCTAGGCCTGAACCAGACCTGACCAAAGTTATCCAGAAAAAGGAACTAGACTTGCCATACTTACTTTTTATTTGCTTCTTGATGGGCTTCGAAAGGTCCAGCCAGTGCTGAGGAAAGAAAACCCTTGTTTAGGAAAAAATAAATGGCAGGACTTTGCTGGTCTTTGACTCTAGCTCAGGGGTCCCCAAAGTGCGCCCCCCCAACACTTTTCCTGGCGCCCACCAGGTGCTTTAAGGAAACGGGTGGGGTTAGGTGGGGTTTTTGACTGGCTATGCAGGCCAAAAGGCATCCCGTTAAACAGAGCATCTGCCTGAAATGCTGAAGAGGCACTATCAGAGTGGTATATAGCCTTGCTCCTGACATTTTGTGATTGGCTCTGGCAGCCATTTTGCGATTGCGCCCACAGCCCTGTGTCAGCTCCCAAAAGTTGGGGACCCCTGCTCTAGTTTAAAAGGAAACAAGCAAAACAGAAGACATCCCTCTGGGCAAGAGAAGACTCTTTACTCCGTAAGTATTTGCACTAGCGCCATGATCTTGATTTCAATGGAACATGCTAGTTCAGACACTAACAGAAGGAGTCAATGGCTTCTGTGGTTATATTCCATTCTTCAAGAGAGACAGCACACCAGATAGCCGAACAGTAAAAGGAAAACATACAAGACAATGAAACAGAGGTTACAATATAATTTTACTGAGCTGGATCCCATGGATTTATCCCGCTGTCAGCATCATTTCCCCATAACCCAAGCAGCTGGAGGCTCTTCTGACAGGGGGAAAAGCATCGGCAAAGAGTTGCTTGCACCAGAAGAAACCACAGCTGTTAGTGTAACAGATCCATGGGATCCAAACCAAAACATCCCCTCCCCAAAATCTAGCAATGGCTGGCAACACAGATATCTCTTCCATCTCCTTTATCTTAATAAATGTCTATCTTCCCCTCAGACAACAAGGTCAGTGTTAGACCCTCAGTGGAATATATACTAGAGAAATATGTAACGGAGCTTTACTCTCATTATTCAAAACCATATTACTCTTGGTTGGGGTTTTCAGTGCCAGAATATGGGCTAATGATACTGAGCTAGTCTTTGGAACAAGTCAACACCGTACAGTATTGATGTCTCTGGACTTTGTTTCTCCAAAGACTCTGGTATAAATTACTCTGGAACCCAATTAGTCCAACTGGTTACCAATTTAGTTCTTTGCACAGTAAAAAGGCAATCTGACTTTAGACTCGGATGGAGATTTTACATTTTTCCCCACAGAGGAGTGCAAGTGTTGTTGATTATTCTCTCATTTCGAGGACTAGTGTGCATATTCTATGTAAATTCTCAGCTGGAAATAGAACGACTAGCGGTCACTTGCCTATTGAACTATCTGTTCAAATCTATCCTCTCAAGCTTTGAAGCAGACTGTTATTATTAGAAAGAAATGGGATGATAAATTAAAGGATTGTTGTAACTCCTTTATTAAATCCAAAGAAGCGGTAAAGATGAAACAAATGAGAGCTATGCACAAGGACTCTGGAACTGTAATAGAAAATTAGGAATCTTTCGTTAAAGTAATTCAAACCTATATTGACAAAAAAATAGTGGCACACAGAGCTGAGAAAAACCAAAGATGGGTCTGACCTGGAATGCCAAGAAGTTAAAAAGAGCTTACAGAAGTTCGAGGAAGTCCAATACTGCTCGTCTGAGGCTATCATATTTAATTATTACGCAAAAATATAAAAACTTACTGAAAAGTTTAAAAAAACAGGCCTTTGCTAAGAACGAATGGAACAGATTGATTTCCTTGTCAAGAAGAAAAGATGGTACAGCATTCTGGCAGGATCTGAAATCCAGACGCTCTGTGAACAATCTAACCTGATTTCTTTAAATGATTGGGAGTGCTATTACAGATCCCTATCTGAGGCATGCTCAGATGTAAATAGTGTTAGGAATGTAAGAGAAGCCATGTTGGATCAGGCCAATGCTCTATCCAGTCCAACTCTCTGTGTCGCACAATGGCCAAAACCCAGGTGCTGTCAGGAGGTCCACCAGCATGACCAGAACTCCAGAAGCCCTCCCACTGTTACCCCAAGCAAGCACCAAGATTACAGAGCATCACTGCCCCAGACAGAGTGGTCCAGTGTTGTATCAGAACGGAATATCTCTCACTTTCCAAACTGGCCTGATGTTACACTGGGAAAAGTGAAAGAGCTAATCAGTAATTTGAAATCAGGAAAGGCTCCGGAACTGATGTTATCTTTCCTGAACTATGGCTGGTGGGCATCTTTTCTAAAATTAATATCTCCAGAACAATACCCGATAGCTGGAAACTAACTGTAATCTTGCCAACCTTTAAGAAAGGTGTCAGGATGAATCTGACAAATTATTGTCTAATTCGATTACTAACTATAACTGGGAAAATCTATGCCTGTTTTCTTTCAAAGAGACTATCCCAGTGGATGGATGAACATGACCTCTCGAACCCAGCACAGTTTGGTTCTAGAATAAAACATTCATGTCTACATAATTGCTTCATTTTATCTTCTATTGCACAAAAGTACATCAAAGGTAAAAATGGCACCTAGGCTTCCCAAGTCCCCCCGGGGGGCGGGGAAAACCCCGCCCCAAAGGCCTGTTCCCTGGCGGCGGCGGATCGGGCCCCGGGGGGAACTCCTCCCCAACGTGCACGTCACCTGGAAGTGACGAGACCACGCCAGGCACGCTGGGGGCGGGGCCACGGCAATCTGAGGGAAAACTCTATGGCACCAGACACCGGCCGGGAGCCGCCCGCTCCTGGCAAAGATCGACTTGGCAACCCTAATGGCACCTTATATACTTAAGTTATGGATCTTCGCCAGGCTTTTGATTCTGTACCATGTAATGTAATGTGGAATAAACTTTGTATGAGTTCCTGGTAGGCTATTAATCCTAATAAAAAATCCTTACTCTGACAACCTTGTCTACATAAGCCCCTCACGGAATTCTCCTTTGTTGCAGACTACAGAGATGGGTGAGGGCGTTGGGCAGGGGGGGTGTTCTTGCCCCGTTTCTTTTCAATTTATATTTCAATGGTTTTACCCCCCGGGGCTGAGCTTTCTAGTCATTATCCCTCTGTTCAAGGTCATTCTATTTCTACGCTTTTTAATGCAGATGATCTTGTTCTGTTAAGTCACTTCAAAAATCAATTAAAGATTTCTGTGACTATCGTTCCCATCCCATCAGCTTCTAGTAATCAACTTCGATAATTCAAAAATATTTGGAAAATTGATGGCAACTCTATTGAATTTGTTAGTCGTTTTAAATATCTTGGGTTTTATTTTAATTATATTCTTTCATGGACTGTGCATATTCAATCGGTGATTCAGAAGCTTCATTCATTATCCACCCCGAGATTATTATTTTTTCTCTAGGGGGCATAATATGTACCTGCCCTTCAAAAAATGCAGCAATTTTGCCGGTGATACTCCGTGTTATTCCAGTGTGGGTTACTGGCCCCCTCCAATCATTTGATACAGTCTTGCTGATTTTTTTCTGCAAATGTCTTGCTCTTGTATCACCTTGTCAGTAATATGGCCAGAGCTTGGTCTTCCTCGAGTTTCCACTCTACCCTGGATGAAAGACTTTAAATTTAGAACTCGCCTTGCTGACCTAGATTCATTACCCCATTTTTTTTCCTTTTACTGGTTCAAGGTAGTCGTTTTAAAATTAGGCTCCTGGTTTACAAAGCCAGTTTTAATAAGGAGATCCCTGCCAAAAAGAACCTTTATACTCGTCCAGGAAAACTTTTTTAAAAAGAGACGGGTTTGTTAATTGCTGATGCAAAACACAAATGCTCTCCTCTACATTATAACATCGTGTTTAAGGATGCTTTTACTCTCCAGTCTTATTTTTATTATCTGACAGTGCCTAAATCTAGGCAAGCACATATGTTATGTGTGAAACGATGGGACAGTTCAAAAACACTCCTTCAGAAAACGGCATGGCTGCAATCCTGTGTGGCTGCCCCCCCCCACCCCCCCAATCTGGGTCAGAGCGCCAAAGGGGCCCAGGGGCTCAAAAAGTTTGGGCCCCCCCCCCATCGAAACCCCAAACATTTGCCAGTTGGTCACTCGATTTGTCATTTCCCCTCTTCTGGCTGATATCTGAGGAAAGTGCCATACTTAATTTATCACGCTGATGGCCCCCTTAGGTCCTCAGGAAAACGGCAAGTGGCTCCCCAGTGATCTCCCCATGGGGGGCGGCTTGGAAAGAAGTCCCGCTGTCCTGACTCCTTTTTAAATATGTTGCTTAAAAGTGCCACACTGAAAACTGAGCATGTGCTTTGGTATGCAAGTGACTGCAATCCTCCATTGTGTTGGTTTAAAAGACATTCAGCCCATTGCTCCTGCTTTCCCGGACCTCTCAACTTGGCCCAAAAATATCCCGAAAGTAGTAAAAACAACTCTTTAAGTAGCAACGGCAGCAGAGGAAATAGCAACAGAAAAGGAAATAACAGGTAAAGAGACTCCCAAAATTCACTAAATGCAACAGACATGCTCTACAAGCTTGAAGACATCAAGAATCACAAAAGTGAGAAACCTGCAGAACACTTCAACCTCCCAGGACACTCAGTGGGGGGACCTCAAAGTAGCTATTTTTTTGCAAAGGAATTTCAGAAACAGACTGAAACAGAAGATTGTTGAATGACAAGTCCTTACAACACTCAAGACAACGGAACCCCCAGGGCTTAACAGAGATATTGGGTTCTTATCACATGACACCTGCTAAGTCACTCAGTTCTCACTTATACCCAGAATTAAACTTCGTTGGCCTTAAAGCTGCCACTGGACTCACACTTCGTTCTCACAAGTGTTAATTCTTTTTTATTATCTGTATGCTAATTTGTTGCTATTCACAGGTCTCACCAACTGCGTTAATCCAAATTTAGCTATACTTATTGCTGCGGTGGCTCAAGTGGTTAAGATGCTGAACTGCAGGCTGTGGAAGGTCAGTAGTTCAGCGGTTCAAGACCCGGGTGCCGCAAGACAGGGTGAGCTCCTGTCTCTAGTTCCAGCTCCTGCCAACCTAGCAGTTCGAAAGCAAGAAAATGCAAGTAGATAAATAGGGACCACTTCGGTGGG